TGTAGGGATAGAAGGTGTGGAAAGATAGATAGATAGATAGATAGATAGATAGAAAGATAGATAGATAGATAGAGAGATAGATAGAGATAGATATAGATAGATATAGATAGATATAGATAGATATAGATAGATATAGATAGATATAGATAGATATAGATAGATATAGATAGATATAGATCGATAGATCGATAGATCGATAGATCGATGGATAGATAGATAGATCGATAGATCGATCGATAGATAGAGATAGATAGAGATAGATATAGATAGATAGAGATAGATATAGATAGATATAGATAGATATAGATAGATATAGATAGATATAGATAGATAGATAGATAGATAGAGATAGATAGATAGATAGATAGAAAGATAGATAGAGATAGATAGAGATAGAAAGAGATAGATAGAGATAGATAGAGATAGATAGAGATAGATAGAGATAGATAGAGATAGATAGAGATAGATAGAGATAGATAGAGATAGATAGAGATAGATAGAGATAGATAGAGATAGATATAGATAGATATAGATAGATATAGATATAGATAGATAGATAGAAAGATAGATAGATTAGATAGTTAGGTAGATAGATAGATAGATAGGATTAGAATGGATTAGAATGGATTAGAATGGATTAGAATGGATTAGAATGGATTAGAATGGATTAGAATGGATTAGAATGGATTAGATAGATAGATAGATAGATAGATAGATAGATAGAGATAGATAGATAGATAGAGATAGATAGATAGATAGATAGATAGATAGAGATAGATAGAGATAGATATAGATAGATAGAGATAGATAGATCGATAGATAGATCGATAGATAGATCGATAGATAGATAGATCGATAGATCGATAGATCGATAGATCGATAGATCGATAGATCGATAGATAGATCGATAGATAGATCGATAGGTAGATAGATAGATAGATCGAAAGATCGATAGATCGATAAGATAAGATTAGATTAGATAAGATCAGATTAGACTAGATTAGATAGATTAGATTGTTTAGATAGATTAGATAAGATAAGATTAGACAAGATAAGATTAGATAGATTGGATAGATAAGATTAGATAGATTAGATAGATAGTTTAGATAGTTTAGATAGATTAGATAGATAAGATACGACAAGATTAGATAAGATTAGGTTAGATTAGGTTAGATTAGATGAGATTAGATAGATAGATAGATAGATAGATCGATAGATAGATAGATAGATAGATAGGTAAAGCATGGTAAAGCCACACACCCACAAAAGCCACAGAAGCCACAAAAGCCAGGCTGGAAAACAACAAAAAAAACAAAACACATCCCCCAACAAATAGCCCTCCATCTCAAAATGTAGGTACGTTAGTACCGTATTTCAGGCCATATTTTCCAGGGGTATTTCCTGAAATTAAGGCCTAAAAAATAGGCTTAAAATATATGGTAGGTACCCCCAATAAATCGGATCCTGAAATGGCCATTGAGATTTGTAAGGATGCAATGAGAGAATCATTGGATAATGCTAGGGACATGGGTTACCCTCTGGCAATCAAACGTTGGGTCTAAAATGAGGGATACGTACTATTAGAAATGGAGATTTTCATAGGGAAACTTACGTTTCCCAAATCCAATGGATCTGGGGGTACACTACTTTCAGACAAACCCACATTGGACAATGTCAAGTATATCCCATTATATTCCTGTAAAACTATCATCAGTATCTCAATGATATCCTGAAATAAATCCCTACCCTTGTTGGATAAACCTCCGGTGTCGTCAGCTCCGCGGCTAGCTGGAAAATCCACCAGCAATAGGTCGATGAATATTCCAGCCAGTCTTGTTGATCGCCAGAGGGTAACAACTTCAGCCAGTGCGATTTTTTGACCAATGGAGGGGCACCAGATACCCAATGTTTAGACAAATCCAGATGGGCGTTTCTGTATCACCACATGCCGGATATGATTGCCTGTGACCCATGGCAGCAAAAAATCGGGATACATGGGGATATTTCCATCTCTGGGTTTGGGTGAAATGCCCCAAACCGAACATGGATTTCAAATGATTTCAATCTCCAGTTCCAACATTTTTCAGTATTCCAACCAAAGTTCCGGCAGATTTCCCCAGTTGCATGGATTCAGATATGTTCCATGGTCAAGTTACAGGGTAACCCTGGGGCCCCTGGTCATCCTTTAATGGGAATCCAAACGCAACGGCATATAAATCCCTCTGATAGTGGGTTGATGAGCATCCCCAAATATGGGTATACAATCCAACTTTTGATTGTAGTTAGTTATAGTTAGTTAGCTTTATACATCATCAAATATCTCTCATGAATATCCCACACTAAAAAACTGTTTGTAATTGTTACCCTCTGGTTATTTAACGTAGCGAACTGGAAATCACCATGTTTAACATTCAAATCATCCAGGATATGTTCATCCATGTTCCATAGCAAATGGTTAAAACCAGAGAGGGTATCTCCATTATTAATTATCCCATTAATTTCCATTAAATCACAATTTTTGCTGATTAAACCATGGTCAAATAACGTCAAATCCAAGGTTTTGACCATGGATCCAGATATGGCGTTTTTTGGTGGGCTCTGCCGGCTTCCGCCTATACCTTCTGAAGGACCCGGTCCTCAGCACATGATGAAAAACCAACAATCAGTGTATCATCATTGTTATCCTCCGGTTTGCTCAAAGATGTGGCTAGCTGGGAAATTCCCTATAAATTGATGTCTTAATGGGAACATCATCCATAAGTGGGAAATTTCCATTGCCATGTTTGATTACAATAGTGTTTCATGTGCACTATTTTTTTTTGTGGATCCACTTTGTTCGGATGGAGAACTGTTTTTTTTTAAATTGCACACCTGAAACCCCGATTTGAAAGGGGTCACATCAAGTCTCTCTGCATCAAATGTTGGGGCCTCCAAGCAAATCTCATCTGCAATATTCTAAGAAAGTTACCTCACCATGGCCCCCTTTCCAGGGGCAACACCTGAACTGTTTTGTGGCCAACTTGTACAATATGGGTTTGCTTCAAAATAGCGGACCCCAAAATCCCAATGCTTCTAATCATTCAATTCTCCTTGCAAAAATAGCGTCCTTTTTCCTGAATTGGATGATGGGACATTTACAAGAAAACCAGAAAACCCTGTATTCTTAAGGCGAAAACCATGCGAAAACACTAATGGAAACCATAGACTTTCCCTTGAATCAATCCATGGAACGCGAGTGATCTTCCCACAGCGTTGCTGATATTCCCATTATATCCGACTGTATTCCACTTCCGATGATATGGGCACGAAACAAATACCATATGTACCATGGGCTTTTTATCATCCATAAATCCCAACGAAATTTTGATGTGAACCCAGGGGATGTTAGTAACTTGATCCATCCCCAGAATGCCCATAGCGTAACCCCACCTCGCTCCCTTCGCTTGAAGCCTTGGAAAATATGTGCAAAGCTTGCAAAGATGAGGCATGTGGGAGGTAGACCAATCACCACATTGGGAAAATGTCGGTTTAATGGTGGTTTCATGGGATTTGATGTTGATTTCATGGGATTTGATGTTGATTTCATGGGATTTGATGTTGGTTTCATGGGATTTGATGTTGGTTTCATGGGATTTGATGTTGGTTTCACGGGATTTGATGTTGGTTTCACGGGATTTGATGTTGGTTTCATGGGATTTGATGTTGGTTTCATGGGATTTGATGTTGGTTTCATGGGATTTGATGTTGGTTTCATGGGATTTGATGTTGGTTTCATGGGATTTGATGTTGGTTTCATGGGATTTGATGTTGGTTTCAGGGGATTTGATGTTGGTTTCATGGGATTTGATGTTGGTTTCATGGGATTTAATGGGAACACGTTTACAGAAAGATGTGGAAAACCCATGGTGACACCTGTTGGGAAAATGATCTAAACATGCTGGGTAAACACAACACATCTATGTTTGTTTACAGGGGAGTAACTCCCAGAAGATAAACACGTGATGTACCAGTATTTAAGCAGTGGCTTTTTCAGGAACCGATTTATTGGAGGTACCATATATAAGGTCTATGTAAGGGCTGTGAAAGTAAGGGCACGTAACTCCAAAATATGGTTTCATATCATACAGTACTCTAGTTTAGGTATAAACTTTAAATGGCCATTGATTTTAGTAGTATAGATTCATAAGTTTTCCAAGAGACGTTTTGGACAGTTAGTAGAAATTTACCTTTCTATCTTTTCGTGGGTTCCTATAATCAAACTACATGGTTAATCATTAAGCATCTGGCATGGGTTGAATTATGTGTCTTTCTTCCGGGTCCTCATTATGATCAAAACTGATTAACATGAATTAAACCCAAAGCCATCAATGGATATCAATGGTAAATCATGAGAGAATTCTGGTTTATATGTATATATATATAGTAGCTGTGAGATGATTTTGGGACTCTCTATAAAAATATCTACACAGCAATAGTTAAGTAGCATGACCCCAAATGGTTGGTTACTGGGACGGTTTATGATTCGGTTTAACCAATACATGCTCATACTCAAACACGATCAAAACGTATGGTTCTTGAGATTTCCTGAGGTCTTAAATTTTGACCTGTACCCAAATATGTTGGTGCATGTATATTCTGTTGATGATGTCCATTGATTTTGTTGATGATGATAGTAATGATCATACCAGCCACTCTTGGGTCCACTTACCTCAAGCATAGAATCACTTACCTCGAATGTAACATGTATACATTGATATGTATATATATACATGACTTGTGACCTGCAACACATGAGATTTGTCAAGAATCAAAGACTGCTTACCAAATGGAACCTCCCCAAATGGCTATTGCCCGATGCTCAAACATGTACCCTAGGACCTAGGACCGGCAAAATATACAGTTCTTGACATTAAAAACATATGCGTCCCTTTGTTTTAGAAAACATAATCTTGAGTCATACCAATAATTACTCGACAGCTATACCGACCAAACAGGGATGCTTACCCCATCCCCCGTTTAAACAAATTGCACCCCTTGCAAAATCGCTGCCAGGGGACATCAGTGGTCTTACACCCACAGAAGAGTGAGGAGAAGAGACCCAAACCTGTCAGCCGAGCATTCGCTTCCCAATGCACTTTTTGGGGACCCCCAACTGGTCAATTGAACCGCCATTTTTTTTTATCAAACAACAATCAAACGAGGCATCAAACCAGGCGTTTTTGACATGTGATTTTCCAGTATCAAACCATCCAATCTATCAATCTATCGCATTCTTGCGGTTGCACCCCTTTTTCTGCATGGTTTGATTCACACGCGCCTGACACAGGCTGCGGTCTTGAGATGCGCGGCGATGATGCGGCGATGGAATCGATGGAGATTATCATGGACTGCGCGGCCTGCATTGCAGGGAGGTTGCCATGATCCTTGTGCTTCTTTTTGTTGTTGTTTTTCAGGGGGTCAGCCAGCAACCTAAGACCTAAATCACCCAAATCACCTAAATAATTCTGAGAATATATGAAAATACATGAAAAAACGTGAACATATGTGAAAACACATGAACATACGGAATGTCTTTTGGTGAGCCACGACTCATCTCCAAAGTATGGCCATTCAGGATCATTTCCAGGCTTCATCTCAAATATGCTTGAAAATCATCACTATTGACCATTAAAATACATGTTTACCATTGTCTGTTTGGAGGGGACGTGAGGCGCTGAGATAGGATATACACATATCTATATCTATATCCATAAAAAAATATATCTATACATAGATATGTATTACTTTATGCACGCAGAATTACGCAACATCCAAATAGTAGTCATCTGGTCCATTGTCTCCGGGGAAACACTAAACAGGATCCCCATCGGCTACCCAGAAATGATGTTTGGAAACCAGTAGGATTCTGAACATTTACATAAAGATGCGATTGATCTGAATATGGGAAACACGTAGCTACAACATGCTGCAGATATGGAGATTGGCCGGCTGTTAAAATCGGCTAAAGGTCAAGAACCAAACGAACCTGGCTGAGGAATGTTGATGGCAAAATTTGAAGGGAGAACCTCAGTTTCTCCTTTGAAATAACCATTCCAGGAACATATAAATCATTTTCAGACACACCCATATATCATATATGGATGAAAGTGAACAAAGCTGCTAACACGTGGCAGTCGACACATTCTAATCACCTGGCCATCGAGTCAATGAATTCTTGCGACCTCTGGGCGTGGTGGAACAAGGGTTTATCCAAACATCTCTTGCATATCCCAAAATTCATTGGCTTAATCAAACGTGGCAATGGAAAATACCCTATACATGGAGACATGGAGGGCTTCAAGGCTTGATCGGAAAACCATCTATAAATTGTGGTTTGATCTTCGGAGCTTGGATGTCAGTTTTCCATAGTTCGCCCCCAAAAATAGCCAAACGTGGCCATACGACACATGAAAGAAAAGGAGTAGAAACCATTTCTAGCAAAATCCTGAAAAACCCGTAGCCACGCTCTTTCCAGCCTTGATTCGTGCTCGAGGAACATCTACAGGAGGTCGCTCCTCCACTTTCCTTAGGGTGATCCCCACAGGTTCACGGTGGGATCTCCGCGGATTGTGGTCAGACTTGTGGGGATGACCATAGTTGGCTGAAAAATCAAAGGTCGGGATGACCAGGGGATAGACCTTAATCCCAATACACATCACTATAATCAATTATTAATCACTATAATGAATTATAATATATATTATAATCATGAACCAGGGTTCCATTCGGACTCTACCATTTCTTTCACTCCCATTGTGGGATGACCGAAAAAAAAATCTGTGGTTCCCAACGGCGCGACCAAAGGTTGCGTGCGCTGCTTCGTGAGAATATCCTGATTTTGGAGGCTCAGGGCAGGTCCGAAGCGATCCCCAACAACCTGCAGAATCTGCAGATCTTATGGATGTTAAATGATCTTCTATAGCAAACAAATAGGGATTTTTACTAACAAACATATGTTGCTGGAGATTTAAGAGATTTTAATATATTTTAGTCATCAAAAATGGAGATGAGTATCTGGGATATGGATGGCAATCCCGCAATAATCCTAACCTGTCCATTCCATCCTGCCCGTGGGCCCCGAAGTTATGAATAAATCCAAAGGGTTTGTCTCAACATTATTTGGTTCCCAGATCCGAAGTCTGTTTCAGGGAAGCATCAAAGGTTGGAGCATCCTGGTCCCGCAGTGTGGATGACACAAGTTACAGAGGCAGCTCCAGGACTTCAACAACAATAACGAAGTGACTGGCCATGCCTTTCATGACCAATCTTGGATACCCACTGCCGCCACTGACATGGCCAATCTTGGTATTCAAATATATTCAAGCAGCCTTCAGCAGTTTTTCCTGAATGCGTAGTTGCAGCAAGGGTTCCCGTTTCACTCTGGGGGTCTGGGGGTTGAGGGTGTGTTCGCTCGACGTTGCCCAACCGTCCGCAACCGTTCGCAACCGTCCGCAGCCGTTCGCAACCGTCCGCAACCGTTCGCAACCGCCGGCAACCGTTCGCAACCGTCCGCAACTGTCCGCAACCGTCCGCAACCATCCGCGCGAGCCCCGTATGGCCGTGCCTATGGTAAGTTCTGAAAAAGGGATCGCTTTTGGAGGTTGCACATGTCGCGTTGCTTCGTTTCGCGTGGCAGGTGTGGCACTTCGTGACATTCAGACGTGTTTTGTGACGTGTCGAAAGTCGTTTTTGTGGCATTTTGTGGCAAGCGCAATACTTTTGCGACGTTTTCAGAAGATGCGTTGCAGTTTTCATAGCAGGCGCAGCAATGTGGACGTGTCCATCATCATTTTGCGTGGCAGGCGCAACACTTTAGACGTGTCGTGTTGTGTGTTTTTTTGCGAATCGCAGTCTCAGGGCTGCGCCAAGTGGCGACAAGGTGCAAATTCCGTGGCAGGCGTGGCATTAACAAACTTTTGTGAGATGTGATGAAAATGGACGGAAGCCTCGCACGAAACATCGATTTTGAGGTAGCAAATTTGGAGGTTCATAAGAAAACTCGTAGGAAAACATCGATTGTGAAGCTACTTGGAAGAAGTCTCGCGCGAAATGCTCGTTTTGATGCTCACACATGTCTCGTCTCGAGTCTCTGGTTTTCCTGTGGCCTCGCCGTGTCTATGGGGGAAGCTGCAAAGCCTCTCCTTTTCGAAGGTTTCCATTGTCATGTCGTTTTGCGTGGCAGGCGCGGGCACTTTGTGACATTCCAACCTGTTTGGTAACGTGTCGAAAATCGATTTGTGTGTGGCAGGCGCAATACTTTTGCGTCGTTTTCACAAGATAAGTTGCAGTTTTCATGGCAAGCGCATCATGTTGGAGATCTTTGTCGTCATTTTGTGTGGCAAGCGCAGAACTTCCGACGTGTCACATTGCGTGCTCTACACTCCACACTCCACACTCTACACTCCACACTCCACCCTTTACACTTCACACTCCACACTTTACATTCCACACTCTACACTCCACACTCCACACTCCACACTCTACACTTTACACTCCACACTTTACACTCCACGCTTTATACTTGATACTTTACACACCACACTCTACACTCTACACTTTATACTTTACACTCCACACTTCACACTTTACACTTTATAAACGTTGCACTTCAAACTCTATACTTTTCACTCCACACTGGCCATTCTTTCACGTCTATGATGTTTCCCTATCTACGCGTTTCGGAATCCGTACCATTATCGAGCATTCAGGTTCATGGGCTGCATCTTGTTTTCAAACATATTATGGGGGTTTCCATAAATGGGGATACCCCCAAATGGATGGTTGACTTCATGGAAAATCCAAAAATCCAAATCTCAAATGGATGAGACCTGTGGGGACCCCTATTTCAGGAACCCTCCATATTCTAACCAAGTCCCTGAACCATACCCAATGCTGTGTGGCTGGCTCACCTCCATTTCTTCTGGATGGAGGAAATGGTCCAAGTCGGTGTCGAAACCTGGCTCGTCTGACCCAAAAGAGGTAGCCTCTGGTAAACATTTATAGTTTGCTATGAATTATCAATGGAAATAGGCTATTTACATCTATTTGCCAGAGGGTAATCATGGTAACTTTTCATGGTAACTATGAATTATCCGTAGCTATAGAAAATCACGTTCAACGGGTAAATCAACGATTTCTATTGGCCATTTTCAATAGCAGACTGTAACAACTTACCAAGGGTATATGGTTGCGTCTGAAAATGGGGTATACCCCCCAAATGGCTAGTAAAATATTTTTAAAGGGGAATACAGAACTGATGATTAACCAGTGGACCTGGGGTATCCATGGGTATCCTATTTTTAGACAAAACCCATATAAACGATGGATATGTATGGATCGCTATGGAAAGTAGGCTCAAATTCTTCGGATTTCTTTTTGTTTTTACTCCCAAAGATTGACCCCCCTCCCCTCAAACAGAAACACCGGTTGAACAAGTTGCATCGCAAACGAGCTATGGATGTTCTGATTTTGTTTGCATTCGTCATTCCCAGCCGCATCTGGGCTCCCAGCAAGCAATGTCATCTTCCTGATGGGGCCATGATCAATGGATTGATTTCAAGGAACCTTGCGGTCTTCCTTTCGACCAATTATGGGACATTAATATATAAGATCCAGATTCAAATCCTTAGAGGGCAAACCCGAAGAAGCTTGTGGACTGCAACCCCTAAACAGATTGTATAGCTTTATGCATCAGTTGATCAAGAAAATGCTTGCACATCCCTGAAATTTGATAACATTACATTAGCAACTGAGCCATAAAAACAAATGCCCTATCCCGGCCCGCTAATCATACTGTCTGGTTTGGTCACTAGATCGACCTATTTTCTATTATAACTGATGCATGTTATCCCCAACAAACCAAGTAGGGTGCCTAACTACAATGACATACAACAACCCCTTCACGCAATTCTGAATGACTCGACAGGTGAGGGCGACCATCTGATCTGGCAACGACAACTATGAACCTGGGAGCAACTCGGTGGAAGATTCGATCAACATTTGAACTTACGAACTCAGGAACGTACACTTTGCCAAGAACTTGACTACAACCAAATGTCTTTTCCCAAACGTACTAAAACTATCTTCAACTCCACACACGGCCACCAACATCCAACAACATCCGCCTGCTTGCCCAACTCCAAGAAAGCTAGCGCAACCATCTTGCACAAAGAGTCTGGGCCACTGATCATGACCTGCCGTCACCAGTAACCATAACAGGGCGTCATTTTACATCTGCCCAACATCATAAACTTCAATTAGGAATGGTTTACAGCATTGGCTTTACCTGGTCTACCTCATTCGTTAGAATGGGCGGGTCGTTTTGTGGATTGCGCCAATAAAATCAATACAGCTGAACCAATTGAACTATGGAATTTTGGGGTAGCATGGCCCAGCCCAACCCCACTACCCTGGCACATGTCCGCAAAAGTAACCGCATAGTCTTGTGAGGCTGCTCATCTGCGAAACTGTGCTTCATTACATACTTAAATGTCTAGTGAGTCTAGTGATGGAAAAACTTGAGCCCGCTAAAGTAAAGATACATCACTATGTATCAATCATTCCAAACATATGGGACATCCCTAACGGGACCAAAATGATCAAACCAGGACAGTTGTTATTTCCAAGACATTTTTTCCCCAACAGCGTAAGCTAATGGGGTCTTCAGCCCAGAATAGCTCCGGTGTGCAATGGTGCAGGGCCAGGTCAGGTTCAACAGGGTTCCGGAGAAGGTTCCGGAGAAGGTTCCAGGAAGCCTTGGTGCAAAGCCAAGTCAAGCTCAACAGGGTTCCGGAGAAGGTTTCCGGAAAAGGTTCCGGAGAAGGTCGGGGAGGGTTTGGTGCAAAGCCAAGTCAGGCTCAACAGGGTTCCGGAGAAGGTTCCGGAGAAGGTTCCAGGAAGCATTGGTGCAAAGCCAAGTCAGGCTCAACAGGGTTCCGGAGAAGGTTCCCGAGAAGGTCTGGGAGGCTTTGGCGCAGCCAGGTCAGGTTCAACAGGGTTCCGGAGAAGGTTGCAGAGAAGGCCGGAGAAGGTTGCAGAGAAGGCCGGAGAAGGTTGCAGAGAAGGCCGGAGAAGGTTTTGGGAATCTTTGATGCAGGGCCAGGTCAGGTTCCAACAGGTTCAACAGAATTCCAGCGCTTGGCTTCACAGAAAAATAAAACGTTGCGGCTGTTGAATCGTTGGGGATACCACCGAAGCTTATTTTTGCGGATGAATGTCCCAATTACGGAATGATTGATCATGTTGTCTACCCAGTAACTCTACCCGGTTGCTCCCAACAGCCATCAACAGCCCGAGTGCAAGGGATGTTTTTATTGGCTGAATATGGAGGTAGAGCCACAATTTTTCCGAAGAAAAGTGGCAATGATTCACTTCCAATGGCTTGGAGCACCTATGATCTTCGGCAGTGGCTCTACCAGCGGCATCGCTGGTGGAGCCAAGACTGCTCACAGTGCCTTGAGATTTGAAGGTGCTGATTTCAGCAGCTCTGCAGTCAAACGACCTGACGGTGTGGAATTTTGTGGATGCAAGGAGAAATCCCGCATTAAGTGGTTGGCTAGTGGGTGGTGTTATGGGCTTGTACTGGATACCAGGGCACTCATTGATGCTAGTCTTATATATCTTATATAGCCTGATATGTGATTCTTTATGTATTTGGATCCTTTTACAATGAGAAGTGTATCCTTGTGGTGGGCGTACAACTACTCAACCAGGAAAAGGACATCTGTGGATTATAGAGTGACTCCTTTGTTTTAATAGAGCCTTTGCGAGTTGCGAACAACAATATCAGCATTTTCCATGGTGAATTGGCTCGGACAACACTTAGATGCGTTTGCAAGAAGTCGGCGGCTGGAAATTCCACCTGCATATCCAACATCATCTCGCAACATGCGACGATGCAAGTTGAAGATTATAACCTACGAGAAAGCCAGGTTTTGTCCTTCCTGCCCAGCACGTTTTCCCTTAGACCAAGGTCCCATGGGACAGGGCGGCCCAACGAGTCCCAACCGGCCATCTTGCCTGACCACATTGAACGCCCTTTGGGGTTCTCTGGACTCTTGTCCTTGCCGCAAGGGCAACAAGGTGTGCCATCTACATCTGAAGAACTCATTATGTAAGCGTGTCGAGTGTTCTGCAGAAGGTAGAATAGATTCTGGAACAATCCCCAATAGGATATATATAACTATTTACTTATTTATATATGTATCTGCATATATATATATATATGTATATAGTAACCGGCTAGCACTTAGAATATTAATCATTGTTTTTTTCGAATAGGTCTATTAGTTACATGATTTTTGCCTGGGTGAAAACAATATTCTAAGTGCATATCCACAGACGATGCACATAGAATATAAACGAATATAAACCTTGTAAAGATGTGCTGAGTTGATCATGAATCAAACCATCATGATGCATGGCGATGTCCGCGCTGTTTACTTTAGATTTCACTGATCAACGATTTGCTTGGAGAGTCTTGGGATTTTGATAAGGTAAATAAATATATATACCCCCATATGCTATGTGGATAAATATTCTATGTGGATGACATTCCAGGAATAGGTTTTGCTATGTATTTTCCATATTCTTAGTGGCACCTATTTATTTTTAATATTCTATGTGCCAGCTGTTTACTATATAGAAAAGCAAGCTTTTCTTCATTTCAAAATTAAGGGATATTCTACAGTCTCAATCTCCAGGATGGAAAAATAGAGATTCTTAAGCCACTGTTCTCTTCACCGGTGTTCTGCTCCTGAGATAAGCAATTGGTCATGTGGAAGTTGGGATAGGCCTCACAGAGGCCACAACTGGCAAAAGAGGGCCATAGAAGAACATGATAACATGGCACAAACAACGAAGCATGGATTGTGAATCCAATTTCTGTATCAGCATAATCTTCTGAATCTGGGGGCTGCAATTTTTTAAAGCACACATTTTAACTTCTGAAGATCTTTGAAGGGTCGATCTCCCACTGCGAGGCACCTCCATCAAGTCATTGAACTCGGTCATGAGAAGGACATCTTCTTGTTTTCGATTACACCTTTTTTATTGCACGGTAAAACGCAGGGAACATTCTTGGCACTTGGTTGAAACCTGTTGAAACCTGTTGAAACCGAAATAATGCTGGATGGTGGTGAATCACCCCCTGACACGCCATCAGAAAAGGAGGGGAGCTGGGGCGGTTGCCTTTTCCTTTATACCCTTGAACTTCCATGAGATCGCCGCGTCGAAAAGCTCCAACCACTCACGCACCATGAATCTCTGGATTATGATGGTGGGTAAAAACATTCTTTTTAAATTCATCCGGGGGCAGGAATCACTGAAAGCTCCAAGAACACTGATTGTTCATCCTATTGCTGCAGAGTTTGTGCAGGCGTTTTGGTTTTTTTCATGTCGTCTCCGTACGCTCTCCCAAGAAAACTCGCCAAAGGCTAGGTTACTGTTCATATGATGGAACTGGATGATGCCATCCATTCTTGCAACACTTGTTTCTGGTGTTTGGTATAGTTACTGGGTATGAGAAAAACTCACAACATCTCACACCCTTCCAGAAACTCATAGATTGATCAGGGATGATCATCTCACCTGCAGTGCTTATTCTTGTCATTCAGCAGCATCATCACCATGGCCATCCCATCCGAATTTCTCCTCCTCTTTTCTACTATTATCAGCACTCAATTGGTTTGTTCAAGGGAAAATCATGGAACATCTACAGTAAAACGCTGTGTTTACCATCTATATAAATCTCGGGATTTCCTGAGCCATTTTCCCTGAATCACCAAGGAACGACCTGACAAAATCATCATGCACCATATCGATCTGTCCAAAACTGGGGCCCCAAATTGATGGGCGAATTACCATAGTCTCTGCATGGAAATAGCAACGTTGGAGGTTGTATCCCTATTAATTATCAACATATGTCAACATGGCGAGAATCTGGGGTATCATCCATTTTGGACCCAGCATAACACACCATATCAACATATCATGTCATATCATATCATAGCATAGATCATACTAGTATCTACCGATCGATGGCTTCCCTGTTTCTGCCGAGCAGCAAATAGAGGTGGAAGGAATCCGTGATGTTCGGCAACATTGCTGTGATCACCTTCGCAGTGAAAACAATGGGTAGAATATCATGGTGATTTGATGGGACTTGATAGGATATAATGGGTATATAATTGGAATATAATATTGGGAATAAAACTGGGGACATAATGGGGATATATATATAATAGATATGTATATATATATATGTACACACATATTATATATACACATATTTGTATATATTCTAATTACTTGGGGGAGCAGCTGGGATTATTCATGGGAATAACCATGGATTTCCAACCTCCATGAGCTGGGATATACCATGATATGACCACTATAAGGGGTGTCATTTCATAGATATAGCATGATATACCCTCTGGTAATTTAACATACCAGTAGCTATTGAAAATGGTTGTTTATAGTTGATTTCCCTATTAAAAATGATGATTTTCGATAGCAAACTGTTGGTTTACCGGAGGGTAGCCATGGCACTTACGTGGGGATATGGGGCCCCTTACCATGGGTCAAACCCACGGACCCTTTCGGTGTTGATTTGATCCCTGTTGAATCTATGACCATGTACCTATATACTATATTATATATATTCCCATAGGATCCATGTATGCCATATATGGTAACATTTACCATTAATATACCCCCAATGTTAGCATATATACCATACATGGATCCTATGGGATTAGGTTTGTATCACTGGATATTATATATATATATTATATTATATGTACATGTATCCATTCAGATATTAGATTTGTATCACAAAAAGTTGTTCACTGGATCTACGGCGCTACGGCGTTCGTTTCTGTTCTAGGTGAAGTTTACAGTCACTGGATCCACCGCAAAGGTGGATACTTCACTGTAGATGTAATATGTACAGCCAATGCATTTGCATTGTACTATTTGAGCACTTTATAAACTTGGAAAGGTCCTACACATGCATATATAATTATATATATATACATGTCGACACTTACATACGTACCTATATATTGTAATATATATATATATATGTATGTACATCCGATATGTGTGAAATGTGAAAAGCGATGGAACATTAATTACATGTGCATCGCTGAATCCCTTCATAATTGCCTTTCTTTTAGCCTCACACAAACCACCTAATTACGCTTTCAGCCCACGGGGTTTCATCGTTCAGCCCGTAACATGGCCTCGTTCTTTCTATTTGGAAACCCATCTACACATCGATCAAAACGACTAGCAGTTTCCACAACGCACCTGCAGTGCCACCACCACCGCACTGCCACCCGCAACCATGATGCCACCCTGGAAGCAGACAAATAGGTCAAAGTCAGATGTCCAAAATGGATCAAAATGGCTGGTGTACATGGCAACCCCCAAATGGCAATAGGAAAAACTATGGTAAACCATCAAATTTGGGGTACATATTTTCAGACACACCCATTCATACCCTCAATTTGTGTCACGAAAAGAACACAACCTATGAATGTTTGAAACATGTTGGAACCAAAATGGTCATTCCCAAAGGTTCCCTAGCTTTTAACGGAAAAGCTTGGCAGTTTCCAGACTGAACGCAGTCATATCGGCCAAATCTCTGGTGTTTGGTTGAAGTGACCCTCTTCCAGGCTGGAATAGATTTCCATGTCCATGGTGGATCCCAAGTTTCCTACTCAAAGATGATCGTAAAGGATCAATCCTCAAATCTGTGGTCAAGGAAGATTAGGAAGACGTTCTTTGGCAAATCCATCCAAATCCGTCCTAGGCCTGGCCCCCTGGCCCAGGCTTTTTTGATCTTTTTTCTGGAATTCTTCCCATCATTTTGTCGATGAAGTGATACCCAAACAAGACGCCCCATCACCAGCCTCCGGATAGTCGGCGGGATCCACAGTCGCCACGGGGTTGGAGACCAGGATGTTCTCTCCGGTGCTCATCTTCCCCAGATAGGACGACATGCGGCCATTGGGATACACCTTGATGAGGAGGATCAGGATGCCCTGCAGTGGGTGACCCTGCAGATTTCTGTATCGTCCCTAAACAACACACAACAACCAGAAATCTACGGAACGACCCTTCAGTTGATTGAACTTCATCTGCAACTGTTGAGCACTTGAGTTTTTCAGAATGTGTTGAGCTTCTTGGGGCACTAAACAACACGACCTCATTACCTAATTCCCAAACATTGCAATATCCTGACTCTCGGTAGGAGTAGACCCAACTACACTCAACTACACAATCGCCATGAGACTTGAGTTCAACTCAACAAGTCGCATATCCTCTTCCTTTGTTTGGTGACACTCAACTTTGACTAGTTTGTGTATGTTTGTGTCTACTTTTTATTGTCAAACCTTCTTGTACTCTTCTGCCGTGCTGTAGGGCGTATAAGACCGCTGGATCTCTTCGCCGTGATCACCTGTCATGTGGCCGCAGGCGGCTGAGTCTGGTAGAGTTCAGAGTTTATCCCAGAAAGTCCAATGACAATGGGGCAAAACTTAAGGCCCCCCAAAAATAATCCCGATTTTGGGGGTATCTAATTTGACCCATACCCAAATTTAAATCATTATCATATTTTACCCATAGTAGTGAATCCACAATTACCCCTGAGAAGAGTTGACAAGAGTTGAGAAGAGTTGACAAGAGGTGAGAAGAGTTGAGATGAGCTGAGAAAGAGGTGAGATGAGTTGAGCAGAGGTGAGAAGAGGTGGGAAGAGTTGAGAAGAGGTGGCAAGAGGTGAGAAGGTTTGAGACGAGTTAAGAAGAGTTGAGAAGAGATGGGGAGAGGTGAGAGTCGTTGAGAAGAGTTGAGAAGAGTTAAGAAGAGGTGGGAAGAGGTGAAAAGAGTTGAGCTGAGGTGGGAAGGGATTAAACAACTTGAGAGCTGTTGAGGAGAGTTGTGACAAGACTTGAGAAGAGGTGAGATGATCTGAGAAGAGCTGCGAAGAGCTCTTCTAAGTGGCCACAGTTGAAAAGGGGTGAGGTACCCTCTGGTAATTTAACATAGCTATTGAAAATGACCATTTATAGTGGATTTTCCCATTAAAAATTGTGATTTTCCACAGTTTTCTGTATGTTTACCAGAGGGTACACTCCGTTGAGCTGCGATGTGACGCTAAAAACTCCAGAAACTTCCACCTGCCAAATCCTAGCAGTACATATGACTCAACACATCCGACTCGTATCCATTGTCATTGAAAAAATCCCACATGAACTGCAAAAACTTCAGCCAACTTGAAGCAAACCTCCAAACACCTGCAAGCATATTTTTGTATTTTCCCCGGACAACGATCCTTTTCACCAAATCCTCCCCCCGAAACATCTCCGAAAACCCCCCATCTAATCGCGCACCCAAATTCGCAGCTAGGTCGATATGCCAAATGGACGACTCAAAATGCTTCGATGGTTTGCCCTTGCAGGCGAAGGTCATCCTGCAGCGATGGAAGTCCGTGATGCCAAGCCGCAACGTCATGAAATATGGCACGTCCCCGCATGATTCATGGACATGTTTTCATGGGAAGATCGCCCAAAAAAGTGGGCAATTTCCAGTAAGCCATGTTGAAAATTATTGGGTAAACCGTTACCAAATGTGACTCCCACATTTTCGGACATGCCGAAATTGACACAACAAAGTCCAATATGCTTTAAGGATTCCACAGCTTTCTTGGTGGTTCCAACTGCGGAACCGCACACTTAGTCTAGTATGTCTAAGTGGCACATTCTGGTGGACATGTCTGGGTATGTATACATTCGTATACGCGTATAACTGATATATGTATGTCTACATTTTATGAGAGTAACTGATATAATATGATTTACTCAGAATCATATCTAGATACACAGGATATCACAGGATTGCCTTTGCATGTGCATTTAGTTTCAGTCAGTTTCATGACATGAGGTCACCCTTTCGAGCCACCTTTTAGGATGCTGGCAAAATGGTCCTATCAAGGCATCAGTTTCCTGGCAGCTTCAGCTCCCTGAAACATGTGATCAACTACCAGTCATCAATTATACATACAGTACATTTCATGATTAAAAACCAGAAGTAAATGATGGTTGAATCCCAGTTCCAGAAAGAACATCATACTCCCATTGTGTTGGTTTTTGAAACTGCTCAGTTGACGATGGACCATGCAGGATATGTCAGGTCCCCAACGTTGCAGATTTACCCAGGGCGCCTCACACAGTCCTAAGTCTGGTGGATTGTTGAATCGAAACCAGCCGCTTTGTCGGAAAAGAAGGAGGGAGGGTTTAACCAACAAATACGTGGAAACAATGGGGATATAATGGGATGGAACCGGGCCGGGATATATATATATATAGATAGATAAATATTTATATAGTTATACGAATATATAACTATATATATATACGAATATATATATAGTTATATATATAATTATATATATAACTGTATATATATAACTATATATATAACTATATATATATAACTATATATATAACTATATATATATTCTGTGTATATATAACAAATACAGTAATCAAGAATCTGATTCTCTTCAATCTATCCAGTGGTTGGGAAATCTTGGGAAACTCTGATTGTAGATCTCCTATGTAAACAGCTGAGTGGGGAAGGTGCTTCGCTGGACCCAAATGCGATTCCAAGTTGATTTGGGACTGGTCGACCCAAGGAATGCAAGCTGATGCCATCCCACGCTGGAAACTCGGTAATGGTACCACGCTTTAGACCAACTGTGTTTATTAGTACATTCTGCATTCCATGTTCAAACCTGATGTTTGATAGAATATTTTGGACATTTGGAGCATAGATCAGGCTCAACTCCTCAGGTCGTCAGAGGATGGGAGGCTTGACCATGCCATATGGATACCGCTGGGAAGTCCCGTGATGTCCCCGAAACTCGCCATGGAGGTTTCACTGGTGACACGTTGATTGGGTCTTCAATCAACGTTAACACCAGGATTCTTCGCAAAAAAACAAGTTGGGAGAAGGATTCCTCATCTGCCGCGTTAAACGAGGTCAAGGAACGTGGTTCAACCACTCGCTTTCTCTCAGTTGCCACTCCTCGAACGGGGAAAACCTTCTGCTTGGCAGATTTTCCCTTAAACCATGCGTTGAAATGATGATGCTTGCTTGGAGTCTTTCAAGATGTGAATCAATTCTGATGTGTGGTCAGTTGGTCCCAACAAGAGCTTCTCTCCATTGAAATCGCAGAGATCAATCTGCAATCAACAAGACTGTGTAAGATTATACAAGTCGACATTGTCTCCATCTGTTTTTTTCTGAACATGCAGAATCGTATGAAGACCCAAACCAGCTCCTGGTATTCACCATGTTCCGTTTTGAGAGGGTTCTTCTTTTTGATCTTCTTCTGGCAGTGCCGATGCAAGGAGTCACAGCTTTCCGGCTTTCCTGAGACATTCTTAGAATATCTATGAAACTTTATGAATATCTTAGAATCAGTTAGGCTTTCCTATGGTTATATAGATGTTTCATGATGTTTCATGATGTTTCCGCTCTTTACCAAGCCCCATCTCCACTGTTTCACTGGCAAAAAACCTTGGTACAAATTTGATGATTCCTATCCTTTAGCCAGCTAAGAGAACTGCGAACAGATGTGGAAGACCTGTGGTTCTTATCGGGAAAATGTCCGACATTTATGATGGGGGGCTTGCATATTTCCCTGGTTCCCTAAGGTTTTGACCATCCATGTGCCTAACTCAAGGTCACATTCATGTCATGTCCCTTGTGGAACAACCCAAAGTCTCAACATGCTTGGAAATGAGGGTGTGAAGTCGGGAAGCCTGTCAGGAATTCCTTTCAAACTGGATGTGAACAAAAAAGGGCACCCTCTTGACATCACCTATCATCACCTTATCGGGGTTGAAAATACACAGATTCATCGATTTCGGTGATGTTCAAACTTGAGAAACTGGCTATGTAAATCCATTTAATAGGGGTGCCTGTTTTCTGTGACATGATGTGTGATACGGAAACGCATCGCAGGCCTTCTTCTTCTCCTTGGGTTACATGGCCAAACTCAGCTGGAGGTTCCCGTTTTTTCACCCAAAAAATCCGCATTGACAATGTTGTTCTCCCATTATCCCATATAACTATCATGGGATTAAAAGTTGGGGAGAATATGGGATAATAAAAAATAATGTCAAATTATACCAGGGCATGGTCAATCTTTGATATTCATGAAACACAGACACAATTGATATGTTGCTGGTTGTGGTTATTTTCCATCTACGGTAAAGCAAACAAATAAAGGATTTAAGGATTTAAAGTAATTATTCAAGGTTGGAGATGCAGGAAGTACACACAAACACCAAAAAACAATGGTCGAGTTATCTCTGATTATCTTCCAAAAGGAAGCTCGTGCATCAGCCGTTCCCACACTCCGCTCAGCCGTTCCCACACTCCGCTGGGCAAGTGACGCCGTGGTGCTTTTTGGGTTTCTCAGAAAGATCTCTGCTCTTGGCGGACTTGAGATCTTTTGAATCTAATTTTTCTTTTTGTTTCGCGACCAAATCTTTCATGATGTCCACCGGCTTCGCCACCTCAGATGGCTGTGCATGGAAGTTCCCATTGAAGGTCACTTCATCACTGCCTTCATCTGGCATCATCTGACTGGTAACATCTTTGAACCACATTTTAAATCCAATGGAGTCTGAGTAGTGAATACAAGCAGCCGGCCAACGAGAACGATGAGAGATCTCATCTGTCTCAAGTTTGAATCTAAGACCGGAAGAAATGAAATGATATCTGATATGATACCAATGATATTGTACGATCAGTATCAAAAACCGCAGTTGGTGAACTATCTTTTGGGGGTATGCTACTATACCCAGTACATAGAGGGGAGCATATGAATCATAATGCATCCGTTGGACGTCTCCACCAACCATGGCGCTTTTGAACGCGCAAAGAAGAAACCTGTAACATCCTGGTTTCACACTTTTCGGCATTTTCTTGGGGGTTGCTAATTTAAAGAACATATGAAACCATCATAACACATGTATATATTCAATCATTTACATAGATGACATAGATATATGATGATATATGTATCTACATTCATATATAGTATATTGTGATAAACCCAATGCCATACCCATTTTGAGATGGTCTTTACAACTTTTTTGAATTGCGATGCTCTTCACCCATCGTGTTCGCGTTCGCGATCCATTTAAAATACATGCTATCTACCTATTAGTAGATGTATATAGTATACCCTCTGGTAAACGTTTACACATAACTATGGAAAATCACCCACTTCATAGCTGGGTATCTATAAATATTGAACATGTCGGTATTTATATTAAACTGATAGTTAACATTGCCATCGATAAAACCACATCCGACTCTGGTCGCCCCAAGATCCCCTGCCGCAGCCAGTTGCTCAGCCTGCAGCTCCGGCTCCGGAGCGGTCTCCTGGACCTGGAGCCGGATCGCTTGGTTGGTGAAAAAACAACTCCGAGAACAACGGATTGAAACCCAAAAGATCACCAAAAACCATCAAAATCCATGGGGTTGTCTGCGATTGGTGGATTTTCCCCAAGTTATGACAACTTTAAAATTCAGTGTTGTGGCCCATCGTCCATGAAAAACACACCTGGCTTTGTCTGACAACATGCTACGAGTAGCCCAAAATTCAGGGCTAACCTCAGTTTTCCCACAGGATGGTACCCCCCAGTTATAAGTTGGTTTATAAACCTCACTAACTATAGTTATCTATAGTTATATCTACCATAAACATTCATAAACGATAGAATTCAGCCACTTTTTTCAGGCAACTGAACGCTATCTTGGGGCCCATCCTGCAAGAACTGTTGCGAACTTTCATGGGCTATATGACCAACGACTGGTGCATCAGTAAAAACCGGCTCCAACCATCCACTGAACTCTCGGAGCTTTCCTGAAGTAGGGGGATCCCTAAGTCACAAAATAGCTTTCAATACTCAGTCATTGTCTAATCTTAGATGATTTGGGGGGACCTCCATGACTAAGGAAACCACCATATATACCCATTATCCCACTATCTTACCATTATTATCCCATCATTATCTCATTGGAAATCCCATTGGAATCCCTATAAAGCACAATTTTTCTTGGTTCCCAATAGGGGTTTGCTTCGTCAATAGCTGATTCATGATGACTAAGTTGACGCACAGTTCACCTGGTTAACTGTTGGGTTGATTGGGGATACACATAGCGTTGATTGCTTTGTCACATTTGTTTGAACCAGTCATTTTTCTTCCTTTTTTGGTAGGTTCTCAATGGTTTTCATCCATTTTTCATCCATTTTTCATCCATTTTTCATCCATTTTTCATCCATTTTTCATCCATTTTTTCAATTTTTTTCATCAATTCTTCATCCATTTTTCATCCATTGTCCCACCAATTGCACTATTATCTCATCATTATCTCATTGGAAATCCCAAAAAAAATCCCAATTTTTCTCCTGGTTTTCATGACTTGTCACCGCAGCGTTTTTTGCTCGGCGCGCCTTGGGTGACTTGGGTGACTTCGGCAAGTCGGGTGCTTCGCTGCTGGATGCAGCGTTCGGTTCCTCCTGGGCTGGGAGAAACATCACCAAAATGGTGGTTTAACCATGGGAAATGGTGATTCAATGGAATTTTAAATGGAATTTAACCAACCTTCAGTACACATTATGTGGAATTTCCTGGCTTCAAAGGGGGTTTAACCAACCAAAAATGGTGGTTTACCAAACAACAATCTGGCTATTATGGGATATAATTGTAATGGAACGGGATATAATAATGGAACATAACATGGGATAGAATATCATGGGATGTAATTGAATACAATCGGATATAACCAGCAACTATATCAAACAAATATTGACATCCATGGAATTCCGTAGGACGATGGTTCACAAACGACGGGTTTTCAATATATACGTGACCTTTGTTGGATGGTCTTTCCTAGACTGGACATGCTGTAAATCATTGTCAACATTTCTCACCAACCCGCGTTGTTGAGCCACCAGTATAGTGTTACAATAGAAGATCATTTTGGGGATACCGGGATACCCCACAACGGTGAGGTTGGACATTGATCATGTTGGGGAATGGACCTTTATCTGGGCAACAAAACCCTCGGCATGGCTCACTGTTGATTCCAAAAGATTGGATGGTTGAACACTAATTGCGTGGCCAATTGCGTAGCTGTACTCGAGGGCGCAGTCATGGTCGCCTCTGATCAAAACACCCCCACACCTTTCATCCTATGTTTTTTTCCAGAATTGTAAACCTGATTTTCCCGTTTCCCAGCAGCCGGACGTTCATCCCAAGTGCATGGCAGTCCAGCCAGAAATGATCAAAATATGGCTAGCTCACGAACATAATCTGGAGTCGCTTTTCTTGTTTTTTTGGGGTGTGTTTAGTAAAAGGAAGAAGGGATTACTACCATTGAACCGTCACTCATATGATAAATAGGTTTGTGTGAAAATAGGCTACCCTCAAATCCATGGTTTATCATCTTTTTTCCTTTTTTTAAGCTGGCTGTTTTGGGAATATACGAATCATTTTCAGACCAACCCAACATACAACAGTTTACATGGTCAATCTTTGGTAGTCCACATTTGTTTTGCTGGGCTGCGCAGGATGATTCACTACCCATCCAGTCGGTTGGCCCCAGTTTGTTCGCTAAGTTGACGTATAGTTAACTTGGTGAACATTTGGGTTTAATGGGGGTATAGATGGATATAGTATAGCTATAGTTAGGGGGGTAATAAACCAACTTAGAACTGGGCTCCTTCCTGTACGAACCATATATATATTTTTTTGATTTTTGGAGAGACCATTATGAGAAATAACATGGTCTCCCAACAAACTACCCATGTATGGATGGTGAATGGTTAATGTTCAAATATTGCCAAACATGGATGGTAAATAATATGGTTAATAATGAATTGTTGTCCATTGTTTCCCACCACCGTTATTTTCACCATCCCCTATTTTCACTATTTTCACCATGATTCTCTAACACAGATAATAAGATTCAGATGGTTAATAATGGATAACAAGGACTCTTTAACACAGTGAACATTAATGCTTAATCAATCTTAATAATAGATGGTTAACACAGATACTATAAACTTGACATTAACCAGATCTTTTTTCTCATTCTCATGGCTGAATCCTTTTTGGAAGCTCCGGCACCCTTCTTCGATTTGCTTTTTGCCTCGTGGCAACACAAAACGGGACCCACATGTTACCCTCCGGAAATTTCACTTGGAACATGATAAAGTTTAGTTCGATGTACCAGTGATTTACCATATAAGAACATGTGGATTTGCCATAGCTATGTGAAACTACCAGAGGGTACGTAGATCATGTTTTTTTTTGTGGATTTCAGCCCACCTCAGCAACGCGAAAATAGATCAGTCACTTGGCTGTAGGAAACCCAAGCCCAAGGGTAAAAACATGGGTTTCCAACCCAAGCCATTGAATACAAAGAAAAGTCACAAAGTTCTAACATCGAGCATGCTGAGCATGCTGAGCATGCTTCATGTTGAGTTCTAGGAAACTGTAACAATCTGTAACACCGACATCGCACGGTGGATCCCCGGTTCGTTTGATGATTGCGGACCCCACGCTCTCAGGGCGCCACCTTGGAGGCTTTGACCTCTTTGCCATCCTTGGTCTTGGAGACCTTCTCCTGGAGCCATTGGGGGTGGCTAACTTGGCTCACGCCGTGAATTCCAGTCGTGAAATCTATGCCAAATACTTCTAGAATCTGCTACACAAATAAGGGGGTTTATGCAACACAAATAACTGGGGGGGGCACATTGGTTAGTGTATATCCCCGATCAGAGCAGAATATGAGTTCGCATTCAACATCATTCAACTATTCATCCAGTGAGTTTACCCAAAGAATCCCCATCGCCATGTTTCACTGAGGAATGCGACTGGCGCTTTTCCAGGGGGATTTGAGCATCGCTGCAAAGTGCAATCAGCAACGATGGGGATTGCCAGCTCAGGTACCTAGAAAAAAATCTATGTACAGGGGTTGTGGGACTCGCAAACTAACACCAGCAATTCCTCTTACTCAATGAAGTGAGGCTGTACTAAGATACAGAAGTGTTTCAGCATCATCCGGCTGACTCTAGTGTAGTCTATCTCAAAGGTGATCAGGGAATGTCAGTGGTTGGATGTCTCAGTTTGTATATGTTGCCATGATTAGTTTATCCATTGGATCAACCCGATATGGGCCATCTCAACCCGGAACGGCTGCTCCTTCTTTTCTTTCTTCTCTGCTTTCTCAGGGTTCTCAGGCTTCTCGCCCTCACCTTTGTCCTCCTGCGGTTCTGCCGCTTCCTTCTCCTTCTCCTTCTTGCCCTGGTCGGTCGCATCCCAAGTATCCCAAAGGTTGATGTTTATCAAAGTTGAATCATCCAAAGAAAGGATTGAAATTTGCCGTCTGCCAGCCATCTGCAGCAAAAAAAACACTTGGATGGACTATGAAGTCAATTAACTGGTTCGTAATCCCTTTACAGCTTGGCAAAGTATGGTATACGAGTAGCTTATGGATGTTTATGGCGTGTAAAATGATATAATCCATGTACCCATCAGCCAGATAAACAAGTCACAACTGCCCACACTAGCCCACGTGCCCGAGTCGCCAAGTACGACTGAACTGCGGCCTTCTCCTTTCCCTTTTTGTCTGCCTTTGTAACCACCTCTCCTCCTAAGGACTTCTCTTTGACGTAGCGAATGTCCATTTCCACGCCTGAGAGCCGCGACCATCCATGAAAAATGGATAAACATGGGGTTGCTTTAAATGCAGCTGGCAACCTTTGAATCAGTTCTTCGACCGTGATCCACGATAGAACCATCTCCATCAGTTTTCCGTTTGTTTCGTTACACCAACAACATGAAACACTCGGAAGTCGTGGATCCCGTTTTGCCGATCCCATGGCTATTCTGTGCCCAACTTGGGCGGAATGGTTTGCTCGCAAGATCCCAGATATCACATGAATTCTCATAGGTTCTTGCTTAAATCCCTTAAATAACCACTTCGTCCCATTTTGCAGCTTAAATCAACATTTCACATCATTCACATCATATCACATCATTTCAATTTCACATCATTGCACATCATTTCACACCATGCTACATCATTTCACATCATTTCACATAATTTCACATCATGTCACATCATTTCACATCATGTCACATCATGTCAGATCATTTCACATCATTTCACATCATGCCACATCATGCCACATCATTTCACATCATGTCACATCATGTCAGATCATTTCACATCATTTGACATCAGTTCACATAACTTCACATCAGTTGACATCATTTAACATCATTTCACCAGAACATACATTAATCAACACTTTCTCCCTATGTTTCAATGGGTTGGTTTAAGGGAAAATCTACAGGAAACCCATGGATTTTTCCCAGCAAATATGGGGGTTACCGGTAGACTTTCCCTTAAACCAATCCATTGACATATGGTTTTCCTATGGTTTTCCTATGGGTTTTCCTATGGTTTTCCTATGGTTTTCCTATGGTTTTCCTATGGGTTTTCCTATGGATCACTTGGCGCCCTGTTGCCGCCTTCGGGTGGCACATCCGGACCCTTCGAGTCGGCGGCCTTGCGTTCCAAGCGCACCATTCCCCTGGCGGCGCCAGGCTGGCGCCAGCCCCTGGTAGTACCCCATGACTTTGGATTGCCAATCTTAGATACCCTGGATACCCTCTGGTAAACTAACATAACTATGGAAAATCACCATTTTTAATGGGAAAATCAACTATAAATGGCAATTTTCAATAGCTATGTTAAATTACCAGAGGGTAGCCTGCAAAAAAATAAATGCTTTGCTGGTGAACGTAGAGAATCCCATACCAAAAGACTAAAGGATTAACGTATCCATCTAAGATTGACCTAGGGATGGTTTATTTCATGGAAATGGAGAGATAGTAACATACAAAAAACTATGGAACATCACAACTTTTAATGGGTAAATCATCTATATGTAAATGTGAAACACAAACACAAAATAAGCTGAGATGGGGACTACTTGGGGTTCAGAGAAACATTTATATGAGGGTTTCCATAAATATGGGATCTCCAAAATTGGATTGTTTTTTAAGGGGAAACCCATCTATAAATGGATGATTTGGACATATCCCCATATTTTAGGAAATCTCACTTATGGGATGAGTTTATGGGAACATTACTGATTTTTTTATGGATGTTTATGCGAAAAGAATGGGATTATAGTGGGATTATACTGGGGATATGATATTCTATGGCATATTCTGGATTTATCATGGGATTACCACGGGGAAACCCACCAATGTTGAGGATTCATTGGATGAAAATTATAGTTGGGGATGATTAGGAATGCTGATGAGTTGGGGTAGCATTTTTTTGGGATCTGAACTTTGACACCCTTTTTCTGCCATCCCTTCATACTGGTTATAATCCAAAGGTCTGCCAGTTTTGCTTGGGGTGAGAAAAACACCATTTACCCACCACTTAGCCAACTTCATAGATTCTGCAGTGGTTGGTCCCAAAAAGGGGCAACTTTAACAACAAACATGGGGCGAGCCGGGCGATGAAATAGAAATCCAACCATCATGGAGATTCACCCAGGAATTTGTCAAAATCGGATGATTTTTCATGGATGCTAGGGACAGGATGGGGACGGAACGAACAATCATGAGGATATATTGGGGAACATCAACTCCTAGGTGTGTAAAGCTGTAAACCCAACAATAAAATATATGTGGCGCCATGTCTCAAGTCTCAAAATGGAGGTCTTCTCTACCAGGAAATGTTTTTTGAGGGAGAATGAACTTCAAAAAATAATGTTTCTTTTTATTTTTCTGGTGCCAACTTTGAGACAACCCCACGTTTTTTTCGCTCCAATTCGGTACCCCCAAAAAAGAGGACCCGTCTGGACGGCTATGGATGGACTAGTCGGGATGCTCGGGATGCTCGGGATGCGATGCAAGAGGTGGCATCCACTTTGTGGATCTGCATCCAAAACTAAGAGAAAATTTAGATAAATTGGTTTTGATTTCATGTTGGTGTGGTTGGTATGGGTTGGTGAAGCCATTCTTTTAGTAGCTGCAAACAAAGTTTTCTCAACATCCAAAACGAAGGGTATAGAGTATAGACGAGTATAGACGGGTATAGACGGGTATAGGAGGTATGTTTGACCCCTTGACAGCACAGCGGCCCTATCGGAGTTGGGCAGCTAAAAGGAAACCTGATGGAGGGAGACTTGAATTTTGGTACACCTTCCCTATGAGTTTAACGATGATGTTTGAGTTGGGAAGCCGGATGATATTTTTCCAATGATGATAATCAATGGATCTCAATGGCAATAGTGATAATAACCATATACTAACCATACAATAACCATATGATAACCCTATAATAACTGGTTGGTGGTTTCAACCCCTCTTGGGATGATGATTCCCAATATATGGGGAAAATGAAAAATGTTCCAAAGCACCAACCAGATAACCATATAAATATACTAATCATATAATAGCCATATAATTAGAATACCACACAGAATCATATGACAATCTGATAACCATATAAAAACATGATAACCATATGATAACCGTATGATTCACATGTTTTATATGTTATCGAAACGACATGAACGCCACACGCACCGGATACAAGGTCGGAGCCTTGTGAGGGCATTTTTGTCGACCTTGGAGACAGCAATTTCTGGGACATTCACCAAGAAATGGGGTTAATCTTGCCCCAACCAGCGTGGTTGGTTAAGTGGGAACAAATCATGGGATGTAATATATATATATATATATGGAATATATGGAATATATGGAATATATGGTCTATATGGTGTATATATTTATATGGTATATACGGTCTAGAGCTGGAAGATATAGGACAAGACATGGGTATGTAGATGGCGACTCGTCCAACTGGGATGGTCATGATATATATATATATATATACACGTAATAACCATAGATACAGCAATTGAAACTTATTTTCAGGTTACTACTATCACTATTCCCGGATTCTATCCTTTGTAGTCCCGTTATATGCCTATGGTAATGGTATACCAAGTACAGGTACTATCACTATTCCCGGATTCTATCCTTTGTAATCCCGTTATATGCCTATGGTAATGGTATACCAAGTACAGGATAGTCTCATCTTTTTTCCACCCCTTGGTGCCTTGATGTCTGATTGCGACCCAAACTGAGGGCCCCAGGGCCCCAACGCCTGTCCCTATCTCGATGGCTCTCTGCATGGACGCCAATGCCTAGAACGGTTTTGGGATGCAGTTGGGGTTTTAAAACTGGCTTCCCCCACTAATATAGACAGTCATAGACCTGAGAATCACATATCAATAGAGGAACCTAGCCTTCCAAGTCCCTATTTAGCGGGGTCGTCTTGATAGGTTGTACCATGTCCCATGCCCTCGGCTCGAAGCGCTGACAGGCCACGCCCCTAGGCATATGCAGATTGTCCAGCACCTCCAGTCGGGGTGGTGGCTGTCAACTTGCCTCTGGGATCATCCCAAGATACCCTCTGGTCAACATACAAAAAACGATGGAAAAATCATCATTTTTAATGGGTAAATCAACTATAAATGGCAATGTTCAATAGCTATGTTAAATAGTTGATAGTTTGCCAGAGGGTATCGGCTTTTGCATAAAACATATTGAAACCAACAGGCAGCTTCAAGCAATTCCGTCGTCCCTTGAGAATCCACATCCAAGAAAACCTGGTAACCTGACTGGTGGTCGATTTGTCGGAAGGATGATGTATATGGGTCGGTATATTGTATGTATATCTGAAACCTTTGATGTATCATCTTGTTAGTTGTTATATCCCTATTTTTATATATTCCCATGGATAAATATCAAATGTTGTTCATCGGATGACACCAGGTACGTCCACCATTTTATTGGTGAAACATCTCCCCATGGTATCCCCAGACTCCCCAAGAAATCCCCATTACTCTCCCGGTAAAATGATTCAAGTTGAATTATAACAAACCATCAAGCCGAAGCAAGGCCATTTTAAGGGGGATACTTACCCCTACGCCCTACATCACGCCAGTGACGTCACGACCTGAGGTCGTAACATCATTCAGCACCAAAAAATCGCTCCACAATCCAGGACTATCCCATTCCCAATCTCCATGACCCCTCACTTATCGGTGGGTTCACTGGCTGTCGCCTGTGCCAAGGAAACAAATGCCCAAGGCCAGTCTGGTAACAGCTTCTGGCGCGGGGATCACGATGGTTGAACCAATGGGGATTTCATCAGGAAAGGTAGGGACAACACATCTTAATCAACGACTAAATCATTGATATTCTGATGATGATGAAGATGATGAAGAAAATAACGATGAAGATGAAGATGATGAAACAGATGAAGATGAAGATGAAGATGACGATGAAGATGCTGAAGAAAATAAAGATGAAAATGAATATAAAGATGAGCATGATGAAGATAAAGATGAATATTAAGATGCATATGAAGATGATGAATCATATAAAGATGAAGATGAAGATGATGATAAAACATATAAAAATAAAAATGAAAATGAAGATTCTGAAGCAGATAAAGATGAATATGAAGATACATATGAAGATGATGAATCATAAACAGATGAAGATGAAGATGAAGACGTAGAAAAAGATGAATATGATGACGTTAATGATGATAATGATGACGATCATGATGATGATGATGATGAAGATGAAGATGAATATGATGAAGAAGATAACGATGAAGATGAAGATGAAGGTGATGAAGAAGATAAAGATGATGATGATGATGATGGTGATGATGATGATGATGATGATGAAGATGATGATGATGAAAAAGATGAAGATGAATATGATGAAAAAGAAAAAGATTAATATGATGACGATCATGATGATGATGATGATGATCTTGATGATGACGAAGATGATGATGATGGTGATGATTGTAGTACTATTATCATGACTGTTGCGAAACATGATACTGTACCCTGTGATAGTTCGCTTTTTGCTGGGACCGTGTGAATGTCGTGAACTTCACGACTCAAACACCATCCATGATCCAACCCACCCATCATTGAAAGATACTCATGGATGGTCAGGTATAGATTTTTTGCGGGCACTAACAGTCCCAAAAAAACCACATCGTCAATAGGCAACGGGCACACCCGATTCACACAGAAACTTCTTCTGACTCTGATGAGGTTGTTAGACAAATTTTCTGACGGGGAACAGTGAATACTGCCGTAATTTCTGCAATGGAACAGTTTCTCACCACGTATGGACAGATACACTGGACAAAAAGGACAAACATGTTTCCTACTGTAAATAACTCCCAGAATCCGAATGCCACCACTTAGCAGTGCAGTTCTACGACGAATTTCCAAAATCTATCCGGGCCAATGGACGTCCTTGACCCCTGGCCTTTGTACCGCAGATCTGACTATCATTGCACAGCGATGCAGCAACCACTTAAACATCCAATGTGACACGTATGTGTGTAAGTGTGTATGAATGACTTCATGTTTGTACATGTGTGTGTTTCATGTACATGTAGATGCATATGTATATACCTTACACATTATATAGATATAATATTACATTAAATATATGTATACACTAAAATTATATTACACACACAAATATACATGTACCGTTCTCCAGGGCTCCAGGGCCCGGACCAAAGCTTCCCGCAGATCGTTGTAAGCAGCGATGGGGTCGGCCTTGAGATCCCGGGATCCCCACCAGGACGGTAGGTGGAGATGGGTGGCTGGGGTGGTAAGTTAGCATAGGAATTTTAAGGAATTTTGAGGAGGATGATTTTGGGTACCCCCATTTTAGGAAACCACCATATTAACCATCTAAAAAACACATGAACATAGGTCAAAATCCATGATGTTCCTATTTTTGAAGGGAGGAACCTCCATTTACCAACAATTGTGCTGTGAACAGAAGGTTCACGGTCGGAAAATGTGTGCCACGTAAGCAGTGTTCGTTACGAAAGCCGTTGAATAAATGTCACACCGTTCCTGAAAGTATGCAGGGCCAACCAATTCACACATTCCAAGAACTATTGGAAGGTCAAGAAATGATAGGATATATCAATATATCTCAAGAAGCATGAGCAGGACAAGAGCTGAAACACCCACACACAAATTCTATATTTCAAACACTTTGGCATAGATGAAACAATATGGAGTCTCATCCGACCTAGAAAATCAATGTACCAATAGTAATTTTCAGGTGTTCATCTGGTGAGTTACAGACCATCAACGGCACCACATGGCACCACAATCTCGGGGAGATGGTATTGACCCATAGTCATATCCATTTACCCTCTGGTAATTTGTTACATAGCTAGCGAACATGGCCCATAGAAATAGTTGATTTACCTGGGAAAGATAGTGATTTCTCGCTCATGGGGTCTTCAGCCCAGAATCGCTCCGGTGTGCACTGGTGCAGGCGCCGGATCAGATTCAACGAAGTTCCGGAAAAGGTTCCGAAGGTTCTGGTGAAGGTCTGGGAGGCTTTGGTGCAGAGCCCGGTCAGGTTCAACAGGGTTCCCAAGAAGGTTCCGGAGAAGATTGGTCAGGTTCAACAGGTTTTCGGAGAATGTTCTGGAGAAGGTCTGGGGGGCTTTGGTGTAGAGCCAGGTCAAGTTCAACAGGGTTTCGGAGAAGGTTCCGGAGAAGGTCTGGGAGGCTTTGGTGCAGAGCCAGGTCAGGTTCAACAGGGTTCCGGAGAAGGTTTGAGGGGCTTTGGTGCAAAGCCAGGTCAGGTTCAACAGGGTTCCCGAGAAGGTTCCGGAAAAGGTCTGGAAGGCTTTGGTCCGGAGCCAGGCCAGGTTCAACAAACAGGGTTACGGAGAAGATTCCGGAGAAGGTCTGGGAGGCTTTGGTGCAAAAGCCAGGTCATGTTCAACAAGGTTCCCAAGAAGGTTCCGGAGAAGGTTCCGGGAGGCTTTGGTGCAGAGCCGCATCAAGTTCAACAGGGTTGCGGAGAAGGTCTGGGAGGCTTTGGTGCAGAGCCAGGTCAAGTTCAACAGGGTTCCGGAGAAGGTTGCAAAGCCAAGTCAGGTTCACTGGGTTCCGGAGAAGGTTCCGGAGAAGGTCTGGAAGGCTTTGGTGCAGAGCCAGGTCAGGTTCAACAGGGTTTTGGAGAAGGTTGCGGAGAAGGTCTGGGAGGCTTTGGTGCACAGCCAGGTCAGGTTCAACAGGGTTCCGGAGAAAGTTCCGGGGAAGGTTCCAGCAAGCCTTGGTGCAAACCCAAGTCAGACCGGAGAAGGTTCCGGAGAAGATTCCGGGAGTCTTTGGTGCGGAGCCAGGCCAATTTCAACAGGGTTCCGGAGAAGGTTCCGGAGAAGGTCTGGGAGGGTTTGGTGCAGAGCCAGGTCGGGTTCAACAGGGTTCCGGAGAAGGTTCCGGAGAAGGTTCCAGGAAGCCTTGTTCCTTGGTGCAAAGCCAAGTCAGGTTCAACGGGTTCTAGAGAAGGTCCCGGAAAAGGTTTTGGGAAGTTTTGGTGGTGGGCCAGTTCAGGTTCAACAGGTTCAACAGGGTGTCCAGCGCTTGGCTTCGCAGCACGCTTCAGAAAGATTTGTAAAAATAAAATGTTGCGGCTGTTGGGGATACCACCGAAGCTTATCCATAGTTATGTTAGTTACCACAGGGTATCTCCATGATTGCTTCATAAAATCAATATATCTCTACGATTGCCGAATACAATGCATGTCCCCATGATTGTTGGATAAAACCCACGTATTCCCATGATTGCTCTGGCTGAGTTGAAAGAATCCACTGACTAATTACCTGAAAATTCGGCATTTGGGCGTATTTTCCCCCCAATCCTAACTGCATTTTGAGTGATATCGTCGAGAAGAATATATATATATATAATAAGGTAGCCAGATTGACTCAGAATCATCAGGACATCTATAATCCATTGTCTTTTCACATAAAAATCCATCTTATTCCCCTTGATGATCCACATATCCCCTTGACATCTTCGTTCTATCCTATGATTCTTTGGTTCAAGGCGTTTCTGGGTCAAAGAAAGGGCAGCAACCCACCAATTGGTCATCTTGAGCGGCACGATGCCTGAGCCATCCTCAACTAATTTCTATTAAGCTACATTCATTTTCCATGGTTCACCAATCCACATTCCCTGGATGTTTTCCTGTTGAGTGCTTGGATGATCTTGGATGTGCATCCCACAATTCGGATCCGTGGTTTATCTAAATCCTAAACCAGAAAACACTGCGTATCCGCCGTAAATCTCTGCAATCCGACCTTGGTGAGCTCCCTGGATCTCAGGCATAGAATCCTCGAATCGGATTGCTGGCGTGGTAGAAATTGCCGGCTGGAAATATGTAGAACAAACTGTGTATAGATAGGATAAGATGAGATTGAGAAAAATTAGACTTGAGATACTTGAGCCAGTTAGATAACTTATATGTTAGATTAAATCATTTACTGTAGATAAAAGACATTATTTAAGGCAGTACTTCATAATATCTCATTTTCATATTGATTAGATAGTATCAAAATATATCGTGATTTGCTTCGCTGTTCATCCAAATATTGGGATGGTGAATCGGAACCGAGCAGCGGTGTGTGTGTGTATGTTTTAGTGTAAATGCAGCATGATGAGTAGTTTTCACCACACAATTATCGATCATATTCAATGATCATATATCATGAATGGTAATGTCGATTATTCCTTATGGATCTTTCCGTAACTTCTTAGCAAGTATTTCGGGTATAATTCAGGGGGTTGTTTACCTTCTGAGGACGTGTTTGGATCCATATTTAAAATTATAATATATATATATGCATCAATGTATCATAGTGCTTCATTGTACTGTAATTGCATTTTATCACACACACACACCTGTACCTCAAGCAGAAAATGCATCACGTGGACACCCATGCAAGCCAAGAATCTCTGCATATATTTCTGGATGCATCTGTTTCTGCTGATCGTCAATGGTTGACCTTGGAAAATGGTCGACAGCTGAGGATGCCTTCGTTCCAGGGATGCTGCAATCATGTGGGTTTTCCTGAAAATAGTGTACCCGGTACCCCAAAATCCAGTGGCTTGTTATAGATTTCTCAAAAACAATCCTGAAAAATTAGGGTCATGTTCGTGTCTATTCGGGTATATACCCCATTTATCCATTTTTCAGCCACAGCCATATATCATATGTCAAGGTGTGTCCAACAATGGGGGTTCGAGGTTGGCACCAACTCCCAGGAATCTACGGTCAAGGTATGTCAAGGTTGCCATTTGCAGGATTCCTAACCTTCAGCCTGCGTGATATCGAATACATCACCAAAATATACCAAAATTTCTTTGCGCTCCTGGACTCCTGGTTGGTGGATTCAATTGGACAATGACCATTCAATGACCATTAACATAGGTAAAACAAGGTAAATCATCATCTTTATCATCTTTATCATCTTTATCATCTTTCTATGAGCAATGGCTTCCAGTTCGCAAACTGTTGAATAACCAGAGGGTTATCTCACTTAGATTCGACGTCGCAAAATCCGACCCCCTACATCTGAAGTATTGAAACATTTTGAAACCAATAAAACCTCCATTTAGTTTGAGCAAGCCACGTTTGAGCAATCCAGACAGTAACTCAACATCCAAAAACTTAGGCAAGGTGCAAGGTTTCTTCAATGGCTTGCATGCGCGTATCAGCGTTTCCTTCTCTTCGAATTGCAAATTTCACTTTGTGGACCTGGCGGTTGGTGTGCAAGTTCATCGCACAATGTGGTACAGTAATAGATTTTGACCCATCACCCTTTCGAAGAAAAACACCCTCTATCATATCTAGAAGACAGTTGCTTGTTCCATCTCACAACACCATAGATTCTCTTGACCATGGTTAGAGTCAGAGATTGCTTTTTTGTTTATTTGGTCATTGCTGAAATCACCATTTAAGTGTTGGTTTAAGCGGAATCAACAGGATTTCATTCGCAAACCACCCAATTGTCCAATGTACATCTTCACGTTTTTGTGTCTGATTCCAATCTTTATCTTTGCTGTTTGAATCAACAAGGTCCTTTCGGAAAAAAATGTAGGGTGCGGTTGGGCATACCACTTACATAATTATATATATATATATTGCAGTATCTTAATTTACCCATTGCTTGTTCAAGGGGGGTTTAATCCCTCTATATATAGATCAACTATATATATATACACATGTACATCGATTAGCCAACCAACTAGTGGGAAAGGGACATCTACGACAATCAACCGTCAAAGTCACCATCATTTATCAATAGTTCAATAGTATCCTGTTTTTTGCTCGTGAGAACTGCATATGGTTGCCGCTAAAATTCCCAGTTGTCTTTGCGATGAACAATTCAGGCTTTCTGCATCCATTAGTCGTGAATTCATAAGAATTCAACCCACATTTCCATATTATGTATACTATTGCTCTGTAATTTCCCCAATTTCCCATCTCTTTGGTTGCGACAAATCTCCCATCAACGACGCACCCGGCTCTGAAGTTCGTCCAGGCCAAATCCTGAAGCCACCGGGGTCCCAGGTAAGATGTACCCTGCTGGTTTGGGACCTACTGTGACTCGAAAATCCATGAACATCCCACATAAAGAGAGATTTGAGACGGAACATCATCCATTTAGAGTGGATTTTCGACGTATAATCAGGGATCTATATATTAGTATTGAAACCAATATTCATATGCCATATTATAAGTATATTATAGTAACCACATTGTCCCAAATAGAATGAGATTGTATAAGTGGGCTATCATATGGTCATATGGTTACTACCCACTTACGAATCCAAGCATGAGAGAAATAGGGCTAGTTGTTGGGGATGCTTCAAGGGATATAACCGACTATGATATGGGGGCAAAAACACCATGAAAACAGGCGATGGTCAAACAATAATAGGAATACAATGGGGATGCTTTGGTAACAAAATGGAGATTTAAGGGATTTAAGGGCATATATGTGTCTATAATATATACATATATACAGTATATATATAATGTACATAACTAACAATATGATAGAGCCCCTTGTGTACAAAAATGGGCTATGTGTAGCCTAATTTCCGGCATTTTTTTGTCGAATCCAGGATGGTGCTGATCCCCTTGGTGGGATCATTCCGAGCGAAGCATGGTGGGATCATCCAACATAGAAACCCAACATAAACTGGTTGGTGGTATACCTACCCCTCTGAAACATATTAGTCAAATGGGAGTATTATTCCCAATATATGGAAAAATAAAAGCCATGTTCCAAACCACCAACCAGTAAATCACCCAGTTGTGTAGGTAAATATACCAGCACCATAGAATACCATAGATCATATGGGCCATACTTTTTACATCTGAAAATACCATATATACAACTTGTACCATACTGTATACCACAAAGAAACATGACCCGCAATTCGACAATTCGACCTTGGATGACTTCGCCCAACATTTCGGTCAGCTTACCTCGGGAAGCAAAGGGCCGGAAGGGCTGGAACCCAAGAAGGATCAAAAATCGCGGGCCAAATCCATTCAGCAAGATCTCGGCCTTGCCAAATTCTCAGATTTTTAGGTCCACTCGCCACTATTCAGAAGCATTTGTTTTGATTCCGGAAGATGTATTTCGGGAGTGTATACTAGGGTCAGCATTACATGATCACATCTCATGTTGGGCTCTATACGAAAGAGCAGTCTCAACTGCCGATGCAGAAACCCTGTAGTTGAATACCGAAGGTTACTCTTCTTACTGGTGCTTATTAGGGAATGGGGGAATGATCTATAAAGACTATTAAACATCATCCCATTCCCCCATTCCCCCATTCCCCCATTCCCTACGTTTAGCAAGCACCAGTGAGTCTGAAAGAAACTACCAATCCACCAGCAATGACTCGAGCTGAATTCACCAAGGAATCCTCCATATTTCACTACCAACACTACCATCAAACATGGCCCAACTTGCATTAGATACGCAGCAAAAAGAAAAAGGCACTGGTTAGTAATTCTTCTCATTTATGGCGAACGATTATGCTATACGAAACTCTCCATGTGCTTGGTTTCCAGAGGTATCGGCTAGATTTCCACTTTTTGTGGCTTCCCAATTTTTGCGGGATGACAATGTGACCCCATCGACCGTTGATCCAAGGCCTCCGAAGCACGATTTTAGACATCCAACATCATCATCCAAGCAGCTATATTTGTTCAGTTTGTTCGTGATCTTTCCCTTCGCACCGGACTTTTCCTGAGCAGGAACCCTGACAGAAGTGGTGGCAACCCTCATGGGAATCCCTGGTTGAAATCCACCTGTGTCTGAAAGTGGGACAGCATGGGACAGCCTACGCTGTGATCAAACATGGCTAGCCCGGGAAATTCCCAAAGTAAATGGGCATTTAAATTGGAATATTACTAATATTACGTATCAATGGGAGATTTTCCATTACCCCATAACAAGGAAACATGATGACAAACACTGAGCTGATTATCAGAACAACGACATTCATCCCCAGTTTCAATGGATTGATAAGTTCCTACTATCAAGACTGTAAGTTTGAAAAGATGATTAGAGTTCTATTTCATTTTTGAATTGTGATTTCTTCCTTTCACAAAAGGTGCAATTCCCAGCGTTGTTTAACCACATGCCAATTCTCACAAGATTTGACACAACTGATCAAGTGATGGCCTCGCGCCCGAGTCCAGAAACAGCTAAACAAGGGGCATGGGTTTGAAGTTAAGAGAATTACCCTCCGGTAATCAAACATGGCAGTGGGAAATCTCGTTTAAATATTATATATGATTTAGTGGAATAAAGCATCTATCCATGGTGCGTCGGATTTTCCATTGCCGCCTTTGATTACCGGAGGGTAATCCCATGCCCTTAACATTAAGTACTCCCTATGCGGCCCCCCAAATCAATAGGCCCAGCATTGGCAGGGGCTATTTGATAATAGGGGGGAAGGGATTCAGATGGTAGCACCGCTATATCACAGGCTTGTTGCTCTCCAAGTTTGATCCAACAGCCCACCTGTTACACCTGTTACAATGTATGGTGCCTCAAGCATGCAACAAATATCAACAGATGTCCCCTCTGGTAAACTAACATAGCTATGGAAAACAACAATGTTTCATAGGTAAATCAACTATAAATGGGCCATTTTCAATAGCCATGTTAAATTACCAGAGGGTAACACAAACCCGACCAAACCTGTTCACGAACATGTCGAAACCTTTACCCAGCGGCTGAGTACATGCCATTGGGACCCTTGGAGCACTGGCCCATGCAGCCTGCGATCAAAGAAGAAGCCCAGGACCAACATGGGATGTAGCCAACTTATATCATTGATGACAGTATGTATATATGTATGTATGTATCTATGTATGAGACGTGATCCGGAGAGAGGTCTGCAGAGTTGGTTTCGACCAGCGAAACCCGAAACCCGAAACCGACTGTTAAAGTTGGTTTCGAACTGCGAAACCCGAAACCCGAAACCGACTCTGAAGACTTAACTTCCCCAGGACCGACCGAAACCCGAAACCCGAAACCCGAAACCCGAAACCCGAAACCCGAAACCCGAAACCGACTCTGAAGACTTATATACCTTCCCCAGGACCGATCGAAACCCGAAACCCGAAACCCGAAACCCGAAACCGACTCTGAAGACTTAACTTCCCCAGGACCGATCGTAACCCGAAACCCGAAACCCGAAACCGACTGTTAACGTTGGTTTCGAACTGCGAAACCCGAAACGCGAAACCCGAAACCCGAAACCGACTCTGAAGACTTAACTTCCCCAGGACAGATCTTATCTAATCTAGATCTAACCTAATCTAATCTAATCTAATCTAATCAGTCTATCTAATCATCTATCTAATCTAATCTAATCTGATCTAATCTATCTAATCTAATCTATCTAATCTAATCTAACCTAATCTATTCTATCTAATCTAATCTAGTCTATCTAATCTAATCCAATCTACCTAATCTAATCTAATCTAAACTCATCTACCTAATCTAATCTAATCTATCTATCTAACTAATCTAATTCAAATCTAATTCCATTCAAATTTAATCATATTTAATCTACCTAATCTAATCTAATCTAATCAAATCTAATTAAAATCTAATCTCATCTATATAGTCTAACCTAATCTCATCTACCTAACCTGCTCTAATTCAAATCTAGTTTAATCTATCTAATCTTCTACCAAATCTAATCTAATCTAATCTGATCTAATCTACCTATTCTAGTCTAATCTAATCTCATCTAATCTAATCTAATCTACCTAATCTAATCCAATTCTAATCTAATCTAATCTAATCTACCTAATCTAATCTATCTAATCTATCTAATTTATTCTAATCTACCTAATCTATCCTAATCTAATCTAATCTACCTAATTTAATCCAATTCTAATCTAATCCTAATCTAATCTACCTAATCTAATCTATTTATAATCTTATCTATCTAATTTAATCTAATCAAATCTAATTTCATCTACCTAATCTAATCTAATTCTAATCTAGTCTAACCTATCTAATCTTATCTACTCTACCTAATCGAATCTAATTCTAATCTAATCTAACCTAATCTACCTAACATAATCTAATCTACCTAATCTAACCTAATCTATCTAAGTAATCTAATTCTAATCTAATCTTTTCTACCTAATCAAATCAGATTCTAATCTAACCAAAACTAATCTAACCTAATCAATCTAATCTAATCTATCTAATCTAATCTAACCTACCTATTCTATAAAAATTCTTATTCCAATCTAATCTAATCTACCTAATCTAATATTTCTAATCTAATATTTCTAATCTAATCTAATGATATCATATCATATCATATCATATCATATCATATCATATCATATCTATCCAACTATTCTAATCTAACCTAATCTAATCTATCTAATCTAATCTAATTTAATCTACCTAATCTAATCTAATCTAATATAATTCTAATCTCATCTCATCTATATAGTCTAACCTAATCTAATCTACCTAACCTACTCTAATTCTAATCTAGTTTAATCTATCTAATCTAATCTAATCTACCTAATCTAATCTAATCTAATCTAATCTACCTAATCTAATCTGATCTACTCTACCTAATCTAATCTAATCTAATCTAATCTAATCTAATCTACCTAATCTAATCCAATTCTAATCTAATCTACCTAATCTAATCTATTTCTAATCTAATCTAGTTTAATCTATCTAATTTAATCATATTTAATCTATTTAATCTACCTAATCTAATCTAATCTAATCTAATCCACTCAGTGACAGCTACTTACGGATGCTGGCAGGTTTCCCCCAAACCGTTGCGGTTTCTCCTCTCTGACCTTTTCAGGCGCTTGTCACTCACCGCTCTTGTTTTTGACGACGGCATGGAGAACGACACTTGGGTGATGTGAGATCGGCATCGTACTGGTGAATCTAAAGGTGGTTTCGACCTACGAAACCCGAAACCCGAAACGGACAGCTAAAGTTAGCTTCAATAGACGAAACCCGAAACCCGAAACCGACAGCGAAAGTTGGTTTCAGGCGACGAAACCCGAAACCCGAAACCCGAAACCGACAGCGAAAGTTGGTTTCAAGCGACGAAACCCGAAACCCGAAACCCGAAACCCGAAACCGAAAGTGGGTTTCAATCGACGAAACCCGAAACCCGAAACCCGAAACCGACAGCGAAAGTTGGTTTCAAGTGACGAAACCCGAAACCCGAAACCCGAAAGTGGGTTTCAATCGACGAAACCCGAAACCCGAAACCCGAAACCGACAGCGAAAGTTGGTTTCAATCGACGAAACCCGAAACCCGAAACCGACTCGAATCCGACTTTTGGGTGGCTCTCCGGATCGGAACTCCTATGTATGTATGTATGTATGCATGCATGCATGCATGTATGTAAGTAAGTATGTATGTATGTAGGTAGATAGGTATTGTAATGTAATGTAATGTAATGTAGTTTGCATCTTCCTCATCATCTCCTTTTTTGTGACATGATGTGACATCCCCAATCTGTTCTTTGGCTAAATCAAGTATTGGTTAGATCCCGATATCTCCTGAATTGTGGTTTACAATTGAGGAAAACCAAGTGTTGTTTTGCTCGCCAAAATTCACTATTGGTTCAACTATATCATGTGAAATCTCCATTGTGTGGCTTCGGCTTATTCTTCCAATGGCTTGACTACAGCATCTTGTCCCAATATAATAGTTAGATATACTACCCCATTGATTACTGTATATATTATCCACATAGTTATTGTCCCACATCATAGTTGGTTTTATACCCCTTCCTATCCCTTCCTTTAACCTTTTTGGCCAAATCACCATCTCCAGTCATTGGTAAATGGTTTCCCCATGAAAAATCGTCATAGATTGGGAATAAATACTCCAGCCCTTTTTGTGGGCGAAATCCCCCCAATACCCATACACATATTTAGAGCTACCCCCTCGCCCCTCCCAAAAGAAATGCCGGTCTTGCATGTTCATTGATATATTCTTGCTTCTATCTACATATCTGTATATATATATACATATCTGTATATATATATACATATTTATATACACATATATATATACACATACATACATTTATATATATATATATATGTGTCGATTATGTTATGTACTGGTCTACCGTTCCTCACCGGTCCCAAAGAAATCTCCATGGCTCACTTTGGATCCCCACCGGAGGCTTCGACGCACGCCACACCGAAGGCCAAGTCCTCCATGTCCCTGATAGCGATCTATACGTAATAATTATGTATACTGTATACATATATATATATAACACACGAGGATATACATTGTATATATATATAATAATAATATAATATATATATATATCTTTATAAAACATACATATTGTTTTTGAATCAAATCACTATTTCATGGCTGTCTGGAGTTCTGCATGGTACGATAAAAACCACCAACTGTGCTGCAGCTTGGGGTGGCCAAGGTCTCATCATGAGGGAATTACAGCTGAATTCTGCTGTAATCAAATGGAACATAAGTGAATATCATCTATATTCATCCATCCATTGGAAGTTTAAATGGGGAAACACATCTATCAATGAGATATTATGCCATCCATCCATTGGAGGTTTTGAAAGGGAAAGCACATCTATAAATGAGATATGATATGATATGATATGATATGATATAATGTGATATGATATGTTCCATTGCCATGTTTGATTCCAAGATGGTAAAGCAGCCGTAAGGCCACATGACACACGCCTGATAATCAGCCCCGCACCATTTGCGGTGCACTTGGGCCCTGGCGCCACGTCATGCCATGGATAACGGATGATAACGGTGTACCCACCGGTAATCCAACATGGCCCTCGGGAAAATCCCAACTTTGGGCAAAATCGGGGAGAATCAGCTGTAAATGGGTGAAATTACTGGAGAGCTAGGTTCGACACGATAGGGCCATTTTTGATTCACTCATCTCCAAGCAGGTTTCCTAATCACGGAAGAGAGCATCACCATGTGCCAAGATTCGCCGAAATTCTTGGCACATGGTGACGCCGCAATCTTGGACCCAGTCCCAAAGAAATTTTGGATTGGTGTACAGGGGTCCCTGGGGTCCCCAAAAAGATGCCTTTTCAATTTTCAACTGTTCCAGGATGTTATAAATCATGAATATCAATGATGCATGGCCAATCGTTGGTAGGTCACAAAAAAATCCTTTGCTGCTGGTTATGGTGATTTTCCACATTTATCGCAAAAAACCAGGGATCAGCTGGTACCCATCCAGTCGGTGGAGTTTTAGCCCATCTGCTGAACAATACATCTACCATACACCACACAGTTACAATAGTTGTGCGCCCCAACTATCAGGTCTACCATTAGTTGCAATAGTTACAATAGTTATGAATCACTGGTTGGTGGTATACCTACCCCTCTGAAAAAATATTAGTCAGTTGGGATGATTGTTCCCAATATATGGAAAAATAAAAGCCATGTTCCAGACCACCAACCAGATCATCTTGTTAGTTGTTATATCCCCATTTTTATATATTCCCATGGATAAATATCATATTTTATATATCATATGAATCATCTACCAGGTCTACCATAGCCAATCTTGGGCTGGCCTTGACACATGGTGATGTAGGGCATGGCTCTCCCTGGCCGGCCCCGGTCCTAAGTGCAAAAAAGAGGAGGGATTCTAATAGGTTTCTTATGATTTTACGTGGTTATACGGAAACTACATTTAAATATACCAACTGGTATTTCATGCTACCTCCGGGGCCTCGCGGTCTGGCCCGCCCTCCACATATTTAAATGGCGTTACCGTAGTTTTTGTTAGTGATTTTACAAGGTTTTATATGGATATAATTGGGATATCAATTGAATGCCATGAAATAATCTAACAGTTTGCTGTGGAAGCCATGGCCCATGGCTGCTTCGATTATCCGGAAGTCCTGAGCTATCCTCAGGAAGGGGCTCCAAATGGCCCCGGTTTGTTAGCTAAGTTGGCTTTTGCCCTCTGGTAAACAAACAAAAAGCTATTGAACATGGCCATGGAAATAGTTGATTTACCCATTAACCATAGTGATTTTCCATAGTTCTGTAAACGTTTACCAGAGGGTAATGAATTTGGTGAACCTTTGCGCTTACAGGATATAGCCTGATATAGTTATAGTTAGATGGAGTATTTCAACCAACTTATAACTAGGGGGCCTTTTCTTCCAAGAATAGCAATGTTTTCTCATTCTATGAACATCCATGAGTGTAAGCCGCAGATCAACCCAGAAAATATACCACAATCCCATCCCATTTGACTGGTTGATACTGGTTGCTACATAGGCATCCCAATTTTTAGTTGTTACAATTCATTTAAAAAAAACGCTTTGTATAACCTGCTTTATTAACCAAACAGGGCTATCTACAACGCCTCACTTCACGTTCCACAACGAATCCAGGAGTTCAGTTTTAGGCGCACCAATGCAACCTTTCTGCATGTGTGACGTTATATGTCAACGTATTCTGTGTAAATGTGAATTTACGTGTATATACATATGTATTATGTGTCTATAATGTATCTGTATATACAATGTAATATAACATAATACAATATAATATTTAATATGATATAATATGACATAATATTTAATATAATATAGTATAGTATGATATATTAAATTATAATATTTAATATAATGTAATATAATATTGAATATAATGCAATATAATATATTACAATATAATACAATATAATATAATACAATATAATAAAATACAATGTAATACAATATAATATAATACAATATAATATAATGCAATATAATATAATACAATACAATATAAATTAATGTAATATAATATAGTAAGTACAAACCATTGTGTACAGATCCATAAATGAGATGATATATATATATACAAATATACGTATATACAAACACATATGATATGTACATATCCATAAATGAGATGTTCACCCACAACACACATCAAAGCATCCAGCAGCCAAAGCCACTCAACTGAGGCTTCGACTATTTGTGCTGCACAGATAGCAGCCGAAAATCCGACTGTGATCCCAATGGCAGCGACGCATTCCAGCGCTAGCTGTGGTCAGCCCTGCTCATACTGGAGTCATGAAATCCCAACCCAAGCGTGCCACAGTGGGTTGGCTTGTCATTATTTTCCATTGCCCAATGAAAACCATTCGATCAATTGGGTTCGTCCGAAAATAGGGACCCCAAAACAGTTAAACTCCATGGTTTATCATGAGTTTCCCAATTGAAGCTGCTGTTTTGTGGGAACCCAATTTTCAGACACACCCAAGTCGCAAATGTTTGGAGATGTTTGGAGTATTCTGGACAAACCCACAATGAGGCAGCTTTGCAGCAGCTCAGCCGCTGGCGAGCCGTTCACATTCTGACAGCTTGACTCCACACTTCTCACAGCCTAGGTGTCTTCCCCTATAGTTGTTAGAACATGCCCAAACCAGAGGGAAATGAAATGATCGCAATGAATGTGCAGACACCAAGCAAAGCAAAACATGCTTCAGTCATGGACTAATCAAACACAGCTATAGAAGCAGCACTGAAACTTATTTAACAATATTTAACATAGCTATGGTAAATCCATTATAAATGGAGGTTTTTAATGGGAACATCATCTGTAAATGGGCCATTTTGCATAGCTATGGTAAATAACCAGAGGGTATATATATATATGATATTATGCGGCATTGCATTTGGTCATCCTCAAAGTAGCTCGTCAACCCTTTGAACCTCTCCCTTCAACCCACAGCTGACGATTCAACAAAAACCACTCCATTGACCCACCCTTCACCGAGGTTTATGCACGCGTGTCTGAAAATATACCCCAAAAATCACCCAATTGCCAGAGTTTATTATCCTTTTCCCCTATGAAACATATCCACATTTTTGGCATTCACCACATTTCCAGACACATCCAGAACCAACGTCCCGTACTAAGGACCCAGCGGCTTTCGCCAATGCTCCTTGGGACTTCCATTGGCATGATGGCACCCAAACATGGATGGCTTATAATTGAACATCCTATTAAAATGGGTGATTTAGATGTACCCCCATTTAAGGAAACCTCCATATCCATCAAGCTCCCAAAATGGAGCCCTAAATCCAATGCTTGTCATCCCGAAAATGGAGCCGTTGCGCCTTTTCAGACGCACCCAAAAATACTGGCTACCCTCCAGTAAACTGAACATATCTGTGGAAAATGCACCATTTATATATATAGTATATATATATGATTTACCTATCAAAAATTGTATTTGTTCATAGCTATATTATGCATTATTATGCTATGTTAGTCTACCAGAGGGTACGCATCCCACTATATCCCTCTAATATCCCTTTATATCCCAATATATCCCATTCTACCACTATCTGGCTGCATGATAATAATTCAACCAAAAATAAGGCGATTTAGGAATGATTCTCCAAATCCAAAACACAATGTATAATTAGTGACGGACCCGCAAGGTCGTTGCAATTCAGCCAGAGTAATTTCCCCTTAATGTTGTAAAATCATCCGTTTACAGTACAAGTATCATTCAATATCTCATAGTGTTGGTTATCTATCCCACATCCCAGTCAGGTCCCAGTTGTATCCCAATTTTTTTTCGCTATCCCAATTATATCCCAAGATATAAGAGAGAATCCCTCTGATTCTTTGCTAGTTTTTCCCATGGTTTTTCCACATTGCCAGTCCTGATTTCATCCCCCAAAAACTGCTGCCCCGCACCTCGTCCCGTCCTCAAACCCGCCGCCAGAGTCCGGCGGGTGAGGTCGTCCTGCGCCATGGGAAGGGACCCCCAAACGTGATGTTTGTTGGTTGAAATACCCCATCTCACTATAGTCATATCATTTTATATCCACAAAAAAAACCTTAGCAAACCAAGTTATAAGATGTTATAAGTAAGTCAACTTAGCTAACACACTGGGCCCCTTCCTGTAAAATATTTGGATAGTTTACAATGATGCCAAAGTATGGAATTTATATACACTTATCTATCCTGCATATGAAGCAACAAGGATTGATGATCTATCCCAAATTAAAGGATAGTTTATCAGAATCTATAATTATTATCCTAATACCTAACATTTCAGGATAGAATTGGGATAATTTAAAATTCTCAATCTATCTCAATATATCGACTTGGGTTTGAACTGGGTACCCTCTGGTAATTTGACGTAGCTATGGGCCCCATGGTCCATCTAGTTCGACGATTTACCGATTTACCTAAGAAAAGTGGCAACAACCAAAGAGTCCTGGAGATATGAATTGATAGAACCTACCTACCAAACATCTGGTGATATCTGGTGCATTTGGCAAGCACCTACGTTTTCTATTCTCAGGGCGGTCAGCCAACATCCTTCACCAGCTACAACCTTTTTGGCTCGCTAGGGAGAAAAACGCGACTATATATACATATGTTTGTCCATCCATTATCATTAATACATACTAATACCATATACGATACTATTGTCGTTATCGGTATAACATGGTATAACCATGTTCTTGCTTGTCTATGTCTAATCATTCACAGCAAAACTCTATAGGAACTACCCTGGCAGCCAGCGGGGAAACCCCCCGGACTCGGACCTTTGCCAAGTCAAAGGCTGTCAGTGGCGCTCGTTGCTGCTTCAACTTCTCCTTGGCGGCCGGAAAAAAGGAGGGCCCACCCCGACCTTCGATGGACATATCGGGAAATATCTGGGATAAACTCACATAAATCATGCGTTTTTACCATGTAAACATCATACTTTCCTGAAAAAAAAGGATGCGAGTTTCAATTCTGTGAGGCCTGCAGAGGATTCGGCATGTTTCTCATCGGCACATCCGATGTTTGGGCGCTTTTGCCGACCTAACTAGACAAATGTTGCGCCCAAATGGGTCCAATTACACAGAAAGGTGCCCTCTGCCCCCACCAAGAGCACTCAAATACATTAACATGATGATATGAAAACCTAAATGATTTGAATACATTCACATGAATGGTCAATACATTAATCATTTCTGGATATTGTGGAGTGACCAAGTTTTTTGAACACATCCCACTTTAGGATAGTCTCAAATCATAGACTCCAACCTGGTCATTTTAATGCGGTCATGATCAGTCGAATCAAGTTTGATTATGTTCTTCAAAAAAAACACAGACAAACCATGATAGTATATGGAACAATATAATAGTATATCAATAATATATGGTAGTTGCTGGTTGATATATCAATAAAATCATGATAAACCCATATCCAAACACAGTGGGAACTCAATGGAACCCATCTTTGTGTATGCAAGAAACTTGGCCAAGAGATGTGTGCTGTTTCTTCATGCTGACAACAGAGTTTCTCTTAGCCAGGCCAAGTCCAAAGGTTGCTCAATAGGACTTTTTTGTGGTTCGTAAAAATGCCCTGCGAAGAAGTTGGCTTCATATTTAGTAGGAGAAACGGTGTGAAAACCGATCAAATCCCAACAAAAAAAACAAATCTAAGTGTATGGGTGGGTATGGCGACTAGACCTCAATGGAATACAATGGAATACAATGGAAGAGACTCAGCTCAATGGACTCTTTGGGAATCAACCCTATAACTCGGCCACTGGTGGTTTTCCCCAACATCTGTGGGACTAGGGCCTTCAACTAACCCAAACCCTTCAAATCCCAGAAGTCTCATGAAGTCTCCACAAGTCCAACGTATGTCTTGCCGGAAAATTCCAAGGTCCAGTAGAGTGCCAAGTTGCTTTGCTAAGCAAAATGGCTGCCTGCCGAAATGAGAGAACCGAAGGGTGGAGCCATCAGACTCTCATGAAACACCGACCTTCACAACTCAGTCACATCACCATGATCAACCTTTGGAAGTCCGCAAAAAGATAAGCTTTTGCTGGTTATGGTGATGTGATTTTCCATTTACAGCAAAAAAAACACTAAAGGATTGAAATGAATTAATCATGAGTAAACTAACATAACTATGGAAAATCACCATTTTTCATGGGAAAATCCACTATTTCTATGGTGATTTTCCATAGTTATGTGACAGTTTACCAGGCCGGGTAATCATGAGTAAACTACCTCTCCAAGGTTTTTCGCTTCTGGATGTAACCTTTTGGCCCCTGTCGGCCCCAAATTCAGCGGGTGTTGTGGCCATTGCAAGATTCTCCATGGAAGCTAACAATGGAATCAATGGAACATCCATGGAACATCCACGGAACATCCCAGATCACCCCTATTGAAAAATCATTTCTAGATGATTTCTAGATGATTCTCCCAGAAAAAATCAAAGTGACCGATTTCCTGATTTCCCAGCCTTCAAAAACTTTGCAACTGTTTTGATTCCATGCATCCCCAACGATAAAATTCCAAGATGCTCCCCGTCACGTACGGCAAAACCCTTTATCTTCCCATTCCTGTTGCTTCAATCTCTACCAACAGGCACCATTCCTCTGGTAAAATTCAATATCATAATCACCAAAATCACCATGTTTATGGCTGGTATCAGCCATCCCCAAATGGTAATAAATGGTAGCTGTAAAAATTATTGCCTTGCCCATTTTTTTTGAACAAACCCTGAGCCTCGGGGTCGGCGCCCTGCGCCAGCAACACCTGGCCATGGATTGTTCATGGCTTGTTCGTTCAGACCCCTTTATCTTCCGTTCATGGAAACCCTTATGGATATGATATCATCACTGCTATATACTGCTATGATATGGAAACCCCCAAATTGAAACCCCCAAATTTCATCACCAATCACTGGTAGTTTCGACCTGTACAGCTCGGTAGTTTCCCTCCGAGGCGGCATAGTGCAGAGGTGTGACTCCTGAGCTGTCGCTGTCGCTGTCCATCTGCGGATATACATCTTTTCCAAGGAGTAGGATACGCAACGTGGAAAGAAGTGAAATAGCTGATTAATTAATTGGAATAACTGAGATATCCTAATTAGATCTAATTAGTGGGAATTGTAGCCACCACTATCTTCTGTATCAATAGATTATTATAAACTGAGATACAGTAGATAATAGTAGATAGTGGAATAGTAAACCAATATCTCAGTTTCAGAAAAAAATGATTAGGAATAACTGAAATATCTCAGGATATAATGGGAATACCAATATATATATATTATATAATATGTATGGATTAAAGCTGGGACTGGGACGGATTATTTAGCGGAATCATTTCAACTTAGTGAATATAACTGGGATCGATATATGTAATATATGGCTGAAATAGTGTGATTCACTTGGCTGAAATGAAGCGATGTACAAATGATTCTTCTTTCTACTCAGTATTTGCATGCTCATGTAGATATGTATATATATACATAACATTAACATATATGCATACAAGATCATACAAGTATATGCGTACAGATCATAAAAGGATTTATGTTAATTTGATTTGTATCCCTTAAAGTGAGAGATTGGTCTATCTACTGAAAGTGGCAATGTGGATGATCAAGTAGCTGATTTTCGAGGTAACTGAGGGTTCAAACACCCCCCATTATCACAAGCTGATTGGATAATACAAGTCACTTTTGATCATCGTTCCAAATATGACTGAGTTGGCTATTGAACATTGTCCCGCTAGATTCCGAACTGAGTGGTGATTTTTTCATCCGCAAAAAAAGCAAGTGACATCACTGACGTCCATCCCATGTGCCAGCAACATCCAGCAACCAGCTCCATGCAAAGCTTATGGCAAAAGCCATGGGTTTCTCTCCAGTTTGCCAAGTCAACATCTTCTCCTTCAACATCCCGGTGATTCACCACCTCGTTCCTGATGACTTTTGACCTCAGCAACACGAAGTTTGCGATCCTCCGAAGTCAGAAGCTTTTGCCAATGTCTTTCATGGTAAAGCAATGTCATAAACCACCCATGTTTTGATGGTTTATACAACCAATTTATGATCAAAGTGGGGATGGTTTACTATTGCTTTACTGTCATTGATGTAAAATACAGAAAAACCATCTTTATTTTGTTTTTTTTTCTGTTCCTCTTCATTTTGGCCTGGGTGGTAATCTTCATATCAGGGGGATTTGCTGGTCCGACCAAGTCGTCCCTGGGTGCCCGTTCCGACGGATGTGATCTTGTCGTACAGATGCCACCTGTTTGCGGAGTGCCATGCTGGTGAGATATTCCTTTCCCAACACTGGAAACCCATGGTTGTACGTGGAGGACTTTGCAGTGATTCGGAGACCATACCAAAATTGAGGCTTGCCATAGTTTCCCTCGCAACCCTCAAGGGATGGTGGTTGACTGATGCAAAAGTGGCCTGAAATTCAGGCAACCCCCAGTGCAAAATCTCCGACAAATAGGAGGATACAGGCTGTCTGTAGGGGACTTACGTGTAACCAGCTATGCGTGATGTGATGTTATAAAGCAGTATAAAACATATATGAATCATGGTTATCCATCCCATAATGGGAATCCGTATGTATACATATATAAATATAATTTATAATTGGTACATAGATCCCTACATGTTATATATATATATTACACTATAAGAAATATATTTTATAATATATACATGATATTATATATATATATATATACATATTATATATATTATTATATATACACATATATATATATAATTATAATATATATATATGTTATAACATACATAGTATATATATATATTATATAATAGCATAATATGTATATAATATCACATATATATATATAATATATGTACTATACTTTATATTATATAATATATATATAGCACATATATTATATCATATATTATATTACATATAACCATCCCCCAATATGGGTATACTATCCAACTTTTGACGGGCTGCATGTGGATCCGAAGCATCCACACTCATTAGTCCCAAGCTCTGGTGTTGGGTGTTGGGTACTAATGAGTTCGAACTAAGGGAATGGTCCTAGCACTGATGAATTACGAGTTGTCGACCCCGAATGAAAAAAAACATGTCCTTTCTCTGTCTTTGCCTCCAACTTTTGACGACGGGACATATGAACAACTACCCAAAATGGAGCGTTGGGGTTGTCTCCAAGTTTGGAACCCCCAAATCCCATCATTTTTCATTAGTTTCCCTATTAACATCGCCACAAATTGGGAATCCCTCATTTTGAGACAAACCCAACACATCTTGTTGGATGTAATGTAAGTAATAATCTGAATATATCTGAATACATATAATAATACATATAATAATATATATATATAATATATATATATTTATTTACTTACCCCACTCTATTCCCGTTGTTGAACAAATATTCCCTACGTTGATCATGTACTTTGCAGCTTTCGTCCCCATGGCAGCGATGAATTTTCCGCAGCCATCGCAGCCATCGCACATCAGCGCTTCCTTTAGAAGTAATTCTCCACAAAGGGAAGCGGTGCCAGGACCTGCTCCGGAACAACACTTGGGTTGCTAACCGGCTGCTAACCGGCTACCTGAATTTTCTACAAGTCTTTGTTGGTTTGGACATAAGCTACACCCCTGGTTTGAAAATAGGGCATCCTTCAAAATATGACGGTTTTTAGAATAGGCTACCCCCAGAGTTTGACGGTTTATCATCATGGTCCACTTCAACATGGCAAGTTCGGGAACAATGCATATGATCGATTGTGAGACGGATATAGACGGATAATATGGGTGAACAATTGAAGCCCATTTCCAGAAGACTTGGCTCCTTAGATTCATTCTTGGATCATAGATAGAGATGCTAATGACATGTGTTTATATTTGTTTCTTGCATTCTCTTTCTTGGTCCATTTCAACCATTAAAAACCACATCAACAACAACTTGTGTTTAGTGAAATCATGAAGTCATCAACATTCATCACCATTCATCAACCATAAAAATCATGAACCACCGGCCTCGACCTCCTCTGGGTTCGCCTCCACCGTTTTCATCTCCTTTGGCCTTGCGACGCGATGAGGTCAGCTCATCGCATGGCTGGGGTATATGTATCCCAGCAGTTTCCCAGCAGGAAACGGTCGGTTAGACCAGCCGAAACTCAGATTTTTCACGAGAAGAATTCGGGTGTAGCCAGGAATCGTATGGAAATGTCATCGTTTATCAACATCCGCCCATCAAATCATGTTCCAAACCCGTCTCAAAGTTGGCTTCTCAATGCTCATCATTGTTCCCAACAACCAAATCCGAACCATGGAGCACAGCCAATCTTGGATACCCTGTATTTTTCTAGCTGCTCAGATCTGCTCAGTATAGCCACAGATTGACTTGCACTGTTTCCCGGGGCAATCCCAACAAGGCTCCGACCCCACGGGCTCGCGCTTGCACACAATGCTCTTGCCCTCCTTCTTCGCCTGGTCTACGGCTTGTCACAAGATTGGTGCTGTGGTGCAAGACGAAAAGGACCTGCCTAAAACTGAAAGGAGGGAGTGTCCTGAAGCTGCAGAACTACAAAATTTTGTTTTTTCCCACCAAAAAACAATGAATACCTGAGTCTTACGGTATTATATGGTATTATCTATGTAGATTTCTTCAGGCAACAGCATCCTGTGCAGTTTGTGTGGACCTGAGATGATTTACAGTAGCCTCCGGTTTGCTCAGTGCAGTGGCTGCAAAAATCCCCATCAAACTCGAGGTTTACAGCTGGAAAAATCCTCTACAAACGGGGATTTTCCATTGGTACTACAACATGACAGTGATTATATTTGTCAATGGATTGGATTATGGGAAAATTTACAGGAAAGCCCCATGATCTTCATGGGAAAATCTATGGTTTCCTGTAGATTTTCCCTTAAACCAATCCATTGAATTTGATTATATTTGCAAAGGATATGCAGTATCCTTCGGTGATCAAACGTGGCAATGAAGAACCTGTATTGCTGCCACTACTTGTTGCCTGGGTTCCCCCCTCACAACAAAAAATCCCTATGAACCTAGTTATTGTAGTTCTCTCTATGTATATATTAATATAATATATATATATACACGTCATTATTAAAATCCATATAGACTCATTATCTTTGATCATTTCTCGTCATCCCAAGTTCCAGTGATTCTCCCAACACAGTTCTCGGGGCCTGCTGCTTCTTCAAGTCATTCTCCTTCACGCGCTGCCGAAAGGCCTGAGGATACCATGGGATGGTTAAGGGTGGATATCATGTATGGATATCATTAGGATATTTATGGAATGACACCAATGAATTAATGTTGGTCTCATTTAATATATCATAATACATATATATATAATTATATATAATTATATATATAATATTTATTTTGAATCCAAAAAACCTTCCTTCCCACCATATCCATCGCTATCTGCCGACCCATCATGATCTCCTCCTGGCCTCGTTGCACCGAGACTTGCGCACGTGCTCGATACGCCTCTAGGCGCTTCTTTACTGAGGGCATCGCTGGGCTGGTTCTATCACCAGAAAAAATGGGGTATTAATGGGTATTATATGTATTCCGTGTATAAATGGGTTATATATATATAACTATATTGTAGCTATGAATATATACATATATATATATAATGTATGTATATTATACACGTATGAACTGATGATCTGATGCAAATATTCGTGCAAACAACACTCACTGACATTTGCACAACACGAACTGGTCACGTAGAATCATGAGTAGAACAACCAGCCTACATTTGGATACCGTACAATTGGATATAGCCAACTTCCAATTTTCACCCCATCTGTGGCTAGCTGTATTTCTTATTCCATCTTATGTCTTACATCCTCATCAAGTTCCATCAACTTACTGGTGCTGAGTAGAGAATGTGGGAATGGGATGATTGTTCATTAATAATTTTGAATCATTATTCTACTAAGATTCTACTATAGTTATCTGGTTGGTGGTTTCATCCCTCTGAAAAATCTGAGTTTGTCAGTTGGGATGATGACATTTCCAATTTATGGGAAGTCATAAAATTCCATGGTTCCAAACCACCAACCAGTTATGGATTGAATCATTCCCCCATTCCCTGCCAGCACCAGTCAAACACTCTGGCAAAGCCCGGGGCACACGTGGATGCGCTTTCGCAGCTGACGGTTTCCCACGATCTTGGTGACTTCAACGCCTTTAAACAGCCCGGAGCCCGGAACAGGTCATTCGGAAGGCCGTTTTGAAACGTATGGCATGGTTGGTACGATTGTTTTGCCATGGATCTGTTGAAATGACCTGATATCTCTGGTGCGAATCAGAATCAGATACCCCAGATACCCCACTTAAATATCGCGTCAACACGGCAAGAGGGTCGGTCTCTTTGAAGGGACTTTAGGCTCCAGCTTGGCATGCTGTTGAGCTTAAAATGTTGGATTCTGGAGGAAATTCCATTCTGAATCCGTTGAATTCATGATCAAATCCTCTTAAAATCCTTTGAAAAAAACACGAAATCCCAGTGAATTCCTCAGCGAGGAGCCCAAGGCATTGCGGTTCACGTTGAAGACAATGCCCGTGCGGCCGTGGTAGAAGGAATATGGCAGGCCTGGCGACGCGACGCTACCTGAAAATCCATACTGGCAATCGAAACATCTGAAAAATCGAGAAAATTATGGGTCAAAATTGGGTCACTCTTCAGATATTTACGAAAACCCGGTACCACATATACAGTATAACTTGGGAAAACATCGGAAAACAGATGGATTCACCAGCCAAGATGGACGTAAGGATTCATGGGCCTATCACTGGGATATAATTGGGATATACTGAACATTCTCATTACCCTCCGGTCCTTCGATGTCATCCATGGCGTGCTGGGAAATCCTTGAACTCAATGGATGTTTTAGTTGGATTTTTTCATCAAATTATATGGGGGACTTTACAGCCATGTAAGATGACAGGAAGATCAACAGAAAATAAGCAATAGTTGAGTGATGTTGAGTGGATTAACCAGCAGGGTCCATGTTAGTTGGGAGGATGAAATCATCACATGGGGCAACAGAATTCATTATCGAGCATGCAAAAATCAAGACAGAAACCAGCCTCTGAAAACAGCTCCTTGGGGGTGCAGTTCCATACGTATATATTATACATACGTACAGAATCGTATAATATTGTATATATATATATATACATATTCATGTATACATATTATCATATATATATTATATACATATGTGATCATATGTGTATGGAGACATTGGAGATATAATCCTAGCTACAAAATGCTACGAGTAGCTAAAGTAAACAACTCATGGAGCCAATGATTCCTCTATGAAAGTCATCCCAGTCCTACACCATGATGTTTTCAGCATATTGTGAACCGTCTTCCCATGATAATTCCCATGGTAATTCCCATAAGTCCCATATCAAAAACACCTTATAATTCCATTTTAGATCCGTCATAGTCCTATTTAATCCCATGAAATAAGTTAAACCTAGTTAATAAGGACCCATTAATGTACCCTATATACCCATTAAATCCCATTAATCTACATTTGTGACTGACTAGACTCATTGTAGTCCTATTAAATCCCATTAAATCACCATGTCAGCCTTTCCACAGCTCCATCAAGGGGAAGGCCTTTCTGGACGGATGGATCTGCCACAATGTCCACGAAGTCGCCACGCTTGAAGTTCACCAGGTATCGCGCAAGGCCGGGCCTTGATTCACTTGATTTGGTATATTTACCATTATTTACCTACAAAACTGGGTGATTTATGTTAGGTTTCTATGTTGGGATTCATATTCCAGCACCATGGTTCGCATATGGGTAATGGAAAATCAACAGAAAACCAGAGACAAACCAACAGGTATTTTTGTTTAAACTTGGGAACTCGGAACAGAGATCCAGCCGTTTTGTTCGTTCTTGCGTCAAACATCGGGTATTCTGCGGCGGTCCTGGAGATGTTCCCTTCAATTCCAAGATCAGATCATGCCCACGTCATATCCTGATGATTGACTGAATATGTTTGAAAACGCCCTCAGGTCGTCAAAGCTGTCGATGGACAATCTCCACTTTTTCGATGGTCCCTTTAAAACCTCCATGTGAACGGGGAGTCTCCATTACCACGTTTGATGACCGGATAATTTTGGCACATATCTCCCCCCGGGTTCATGTGGACCAACACCCCGTGAGAAAACCAATGGTGGATGTAAGTGAAACATAGTGAAGCGACATATTTGGGAAGTGGGGTGATAGAATGGGGCTGGAGCTGCTATGAACGGATGATCGGATTAGCGATGATGAACTGCCCGGCTTGGTCACTTCGCTTCACCCTAGCCATGACCGGCATTGGCCCATGGATTTGTCGTCAAACAACCATGCAGGACACGCAAAAAGGAGAAGTCTTCGCAGTATTTTTTAGCACAACATGATCTACCCTCTGGTAAACTAACATAGCTATGGAAAATCATCATTTTTAATGGGAAAATCCACTATTAATGGTCATTCTCCATAGCTACGTTAAATTACCAGAGGGTACATTATCTAGTCATAAATGGAGGTTTCCTAAAATGGGGCCCCAGTCGTCACCACAGGTTGGATGATTTGGGGGGTCCCATGACGCCCTGAGATCCCAACAAGCCCTTGGTGCGGTACTTCTTGGAATACCTCTGCAGCGCGTTCCACCGTTGGACACCAAGAGTTAGGCCACCAAACCCATAGGATCCATGTATGCCATATATGGTAACATGTACCATTAATATACCCCCAATGTTAGCATATATACCATACATGGATCCTATGGGAAAGAACTCTACGTGTGGGGATGTGCCTGCGGGCTTAGGAAGACGTTTCACAAAAAAAAGCAGCGCACGACTGGAAAGCAATACACAGAAAATCAAAGAAACATGACCAGTTGCTGAGATCACCAAGAAAATCACCATTGAAACTACACTTCACCAAACAATACTCAAATCAGCAAACAAACACATGATCAGAATCTCCTTTCTGCTTGATTCCAGGTGAGGTTGATCATCACCCTCTGAGCTGGTGAAACAAGATCAGAAATGCCTGGTATTCATAATTTTTGTATATTTGTCTTGGCTTTTACGATTCACAAAAAAGGTATATAATCCAATACGGAATCCATCTTGTTTAATCATGTTTTGGGTTGTACTATCAGTTACCATCAACATCTATTGATTAATAAACATTGTAATCCCCCGTCTCGGCCCCATCTCCGCTTACTAAGCCACTTGTCACGAGTGCCATGGCGGTAGCCCTTCGAGATGACTCTGGTCTTTCCCATGGAGACCTTCCGAGGTGACGCTGGCACTTCTGGCCCTGGCGTTTAGATATTAGATGCACCAAGCCACATGAAATATCAGAAAATCAGATTTATTTTGACTGGTTGGGTGTTTTCTTTACCAGTCAAAATCTAGGCACTTGAGACATATCGAAGCGAACCATCCTGACGCATCCAGTTCCCAGTTCCACACTTCACTTGCACCATCGATTCACAGACATGGCAATTTACATACTATAGACTATAGACCCATCCCAATTTCAGTCGAACAAATTCCTGTTTGTTTCAATGATTGGGATATACGGCGATATTATTTACTAAACATATTGATAGGTATGTTTATTATTTGATGATCTAATATGATTTATTTATGTATTGCAACTATATATATATAATTATATAATTATATAGTATATGACAGTATATGTATCGTTGTCCTCCCATTTTTCTCGCATGGCTTGCTGGAATAATCCACCATTTAGTTCGATGATATTCCCAGTGAACCGTTCATGTTTGATGACACCGATACAGTAGATCCCAATGATGTTCCCAATAGGCAAGTCAAAACCTTGGCATATTAGGTCCCCTAGATTTTAGCTGGTTAATGGTTGTGTATTCCCCCAGTCATGAGGTAATTTCATAGGTTTTTGACCCATCCCAGGCCCTGTATCCCAGGTTTCGCCTTTCGCGCGTCGCAGGACCCAGAAAAAAGGGGCCACGTCGCCGAGCCCGATGGCTGTGGGATCCCCAGTCGTCACCATAGGTTTTAGTACTAAAATGGTCTAATGACTGGGATGATTTGGGGGTACCCTCTGGTGAACTAACATAGCTATTGAAAATGGCCATAGAAATAGTGGATTTACCCATTAAAAATGGTGATTTTCCATTGCTATGTTAGTTTACCAGAGGGTAGCCCCATTGGATTTCCATATCAATGGATTGTGCAAACGGAACATTTGCAGGAAATTCTTATACATATTCCATGGGAAAAGGCATGGTTTCTGGTTTAGATGTTCCCTATTAAACCAATCCAATGACAATAATCTGATCTGAATATGATGTGAAACTAAGCAAACTTGTTTTGATATTGATAGCAAGTAAAAAGCTGCATATTTTTTCGTAACCAAACTGGGGAACCAGCAATGCGGATTAGCGATTCCTCTGCATACTAATTCCTTATTATCGTGGGATGCTGAATCCATAAAACTGCATATACTGAAAATCCACTGGATAGGTATAATCCATCCAGTGCTCAATGGAATGGTTCAAAGGAAGATTACAGGTTTCGGATAGAAGTAGTATCCCATCAAAGCTGAGCTTTTCAACCGTAGTTCCCTCTGGGCAAATGATAATAATTCACTTGAAAACTTCGGCTATATTGGGATATGTCGGATATGTCCATATAATTATCCCCAATCCATTCACCATGAATTTTCGGGCTTCAGTCGCCATGTGAAGTCGCAACATCATTTACCCAAATGGATCAAAGTACTGTATCTACTCATAAACCATCCTAAAGCACACAGCTAACCTAGTTTTTTGCACTAGGATTATCTAAGTATCTACCATAAACATCCATAAACATCCATAAACCATAGTTAACCTATGTTAACCCCTGTTAACCTCTGTTAACCTATATGTTAACCTAGTTGTTTGCTCCAACTTAGGGGGTACCACCTTGTTTTTGCTGTTCGCCGGCACCTCGCTCTGCTGCATATAGTTGCAAAGTCCAGCCACCAGCTCTGGCCTGGTGACAGGTCGAGGGCTCCCAAGATGGGGTTAGGACTACATAGGTTTCCGATGGTTTACACACAATATATATATATATATAGCAATATATATATATATATTAATCTATATGTATATATATATATATAGCAATACATATATATATATATATATATTGGATATATTGATTATGTCCTTAGATGGGCTTATAAACTAAGCCAGAAGTGCCGGTCAGGGGTTGCTAACTACTCGATTCAGTCTAAGAGGGAAGTAAGACATCCTCTATAACTTAAGCACATTGGACGGCGTTTGGGTACGGCTGTCTTGATTTGCTCGCCATTTGTAGTACGAACTGTCAAATTGCAGATACACAATTTGGAGCAAGCATTTGTTTCCCTACCGTAATACTTAGAATAATAATCAGTCAATTCAGCGCAAATTTGCTGTCTCGTTTGGAAGACTTCGGAGTCAACAGATTTTGTTTTGTCTACAGGTACAATGCTAGATGTTAAGCCTATGGATCCCAAAACTTCCATAGAAGGTACTTCACATCCTAAATCATACCCAAGTCATACTTGCAAAGAAGGTACAGCAGGATCCATAGGGATTACATATCATATCATCATGATTCACCCATTATTTCCCGCTCTTGATGCTCATATCAAGTTTTATCCATGGTACAATGTTAGATGTGCAATATATATATATATGTATATATATATATGGTCCAGTGTCTCGTGTTCACAACCCCCCCCCCCCCCCCCCCCATATGGTATGGGGGCTTACCCCCCAACCCCCCCACCCCCCAACCCCCCCACCACATCCACAAGGGGGGAGAGATACATAGACATATGCATCCACGCATACACATACATACTGTATACATTTGCACATACACATACTATATACGTATATACACACACATGTAAATGTATAATGTATATATATATATACTTACATACATACATACACACAGTACTTATATATGTATATATATATGTAACTTACATATACATATAGGGACCATCACCATCTTGTCGGGGGGAGGGGGGAGACCACCAGACGCTGGGGCCATATATAGACATGTCTCTGGATAAACTATGATAAACTATTTTAATTTATGTTCACACATGAAAAATCATACCATGTGGGGATGATTTCCCTTATTAAATTCTGTGAAATGGCGGTGAGGTCGTTATGTTGCTCAAATATACTCAAATATGGCTTAGTCAAACATGGGGGCTCCGCCCCAAACTGGACAATGCAAGGTAAAACACATGTGGAACACTGGAATCAGGATACAAATCTCCTCCCCCACACCATTCAACATTGGCCATTGGCTGTTAGTTCTTGTCGGTTACTGAAGGTCTTCAAGCCAATGGGCAAAAAACATAACGACCTATGGTTAATATCCAATAATACCAAATATCAAACCAATGACTATCAATCTAGCTCTATAATGGCGTTGGTAATCAGTTTTGATAATATTTATATTCTATATTATATTATATTATATTGTTGGTATATTGTTGGTTGCTATTTACTATTGATTATCATTGGTTGTGATTCTAGATGAAACAGAATAGTTACGACAGTCCAATAAGATCAATAGCACTTTTATTTTAACATATTCTAACACATAATAGTTACTCATAGTTACTATTTGATATCATTATGTTACCCTCTGGTAAACGTTTACATAACTATGGAAAGTCACCATAGAAATAGTGGGATTTTCCCATTAAAAATAGTGATTTTCCCATCAGCTATGTGAGTTTACCAGAGGGTACTGATATTCGTCGACAAACTTAGCGATGAAATCATCCATGCCCCTTAGGGGGGCCCTCCGAGATTCCCACCCCGGCTGCAGCTGGAAGCGTTTGCTTCTCATGATCTCATCCTGCTCACGTCCCCTGGATTCGGGTGGCAAGGACGGCGGCAGACGTAGCCGCTATGGGGGTTCCCAGGTATTTCTAAGTGGAAGCTTTCCTAAAGCGGGGTAACTCCACCAAGTCATCCAAGTCATCCATTTCTAGATGGGCTTTTCCATGAAAACATATGAAAACCAAGCACACATAAAAAGAGTACCCCCATTGATGGAAACCTCTATGGGTCAACATCAGATACCCGGTCCCTGACCAGAATCTCCGGTCCGCGCCTTAAACTGTTCTTGACCCATTCCCATCTCTTTCATAGTCAAAGCGGCCGTTGTTTGCGTGGTATGGTCGTCCGTCCCATTTCGGGAATCCTTACCGTTTGTATATATGTAAATCCATATGAAAATGGATTGATGACCATCCCCGAATATGGCTATCACACTTTTTTTTTGACTATGGTCAGAAATATAAGCCGTAACTAAGGATATTCCACACACAAGTATCATACGTAGCTTCTGATCTATAAATACTAAACTAGGATTTCATATCTATTTCAATGAAAAATCCCACCTTTTCGTATCGATTTTCCCAGTTCTATCGACCACCAAAGCCTCCATATTTTCTGGGGGATTTTCCAGCTCGCGGCGGGCAAGCGTCCCGCGTCCCCCGAGGTCGTTGCTCAGGAAACTCAAAGCAACTCGTCAGGAGCATCCTGGCAGCGGGTCTATCTGTATAATCTGAATAAGACACAGTAATACATAAATTCTTGTATTATATATATATATTATATTATATATTATAATTATATATAATATACACCCATGAAATTTTGAAATATGTATTCATATAGACATATAGGATGCGCACACTGTATGCAAAGATAGTGTTGTGTGTACGCATACCATATGATGCGATATCTAGCTATCAAAATAGAGGGTAAGTCAACTCCATCCTGGATCCTTAACTCTCTTGATACCAACAGATTAGTCACGAGGGAGCTGGCAAAAACATCAGCCCATGACTCAAACATTATATAAATTATACAGCTTCGTTAAAAACATGATTCCCATAGTCAATTATGAGAATAGCCAATAAAGGGTAAGTTAATCTCCAGAACACATCATTGACCATCATTCACCGATGAGATCCCCAATTTATCCCAATACTTGGTGGTTCATCCCACTTAGTAAGTGGGTTATAACCCCAGTGAATTCAGTGGATTAACCCTACAAAAATCCCATTTATAACTGGGGTTATAACCCACTTACGATTCGTGGGATGGGCCACCAAGTATAGATAGTGTTTTCTTCCGACAAAATCATCAACCGAAGACGGGCGACAAGTCGCAGCCACCTGCTCATTCGCAGACTTTTAGGATGGAAAATCTGAAGATTTTTGGGTACCGGAAATCCATCTATGGCCGTTTCATCCGGAAAATGATGATAAATCTGTTGGGGTGCACGATTTTATACTATTTTCAGATATGTAAAAAATCAAACCCACCTTGAAATCACCCAACGTTTGAGATCAACCCATTGGACAGCCTCAGAATGGGAAAGCATCCGGCATAGGCGTCCCGGATGGCGTAGTGCAGACAGGTGAACTGATGCTTGTCCTGCAGAGCTGTGGGGACCATGCTATCAACGTCATCACAATATCCATGGGTCATTAAATGTCCCCATTGAACATCACCCAACCATTAGGTATATGGTCTATAATGGCTACTATAAGGTGATGTCCAATATACCCAAAATGGGACATTTACCAATCCCTGTTATCTATATAAGTAGATCCAAGTTCCCATTAATCGTCTTTACTTCGTTGATCTTCCCAGCTCGAAACCTCATGAAACCTCCATATCATAGTTGGAAACCTCCATATCATAGTTGATTTTCCCAGATAAAAACCTCTATATTTGAGTATATTAAGTTGCCATTGAGTTCGTTGGTATTTTCCCATGGAAAAACCTGGGATTTCCCGACAAAATCGCCCCCTTTTTTCCCCAGATCCTCTGCCAACAGAAAGCTCCGTCGCAGCGCTTCCAAGGCTCTGAGATACTCCACCTGGGACGACATGCGCGCGGGCAGGTGGTAACTCTCTGGGCACGGGGAAATGATGTTACCCTCT